ACCTTTTCTTTTTTTTTTTTTTTTTTTTTTGACAGGCAGAGTGGACAATGAGAGAGAGAGAGACAGAGAGAAAAGCCTTCCTTTGCCGTTGGTTCACCCTCCAATGGCCGCCGCGGCCGGCACGCTGCGGCCAGCGCACCGCGCTGATCCGAAGGCAGGAGCCAGGTGCTTCTCCTGGTCTCCCATGGGGTGAGGGCCCAAGCACTTGGGCCATCCTCCACTGCACTCCCTGGCCACAGCAGAGAGCTGGCCTGGAAGAGGGGCAACCGGGACAGAATCCGGCGCCCCAACTGGGACTGGAACCTGGTGTGCCGGCGCCGCAAGGCGGAGGATTAGCCTAGTGAGTTGCGGCGCTGGCACACAAACAATCTTTTAAGTCAAAGCCCAAGATCTCCCCTGAGATTCCAGGCAAGCCCCAAAAGGATCAACAGAGTTCTGTACCTCCAGGATCCAACGGCAGGACAGCCATGGAGCGTGCACTGCCATGCGCAGTGGGCAGCTGAGAGACCAGAGCCAGATGGCCAGCCAGCAGGGCAGACATGGAATCCCTGTGTCCTGGGCTAGCCCCCGGGGCCTGGGCGGCCGGGCTTCCTTGGCTTTGCTGGGTGCAGCATATGCGTCAGCACTCACAAATTGCGGCCTCGTCTCTGCAGCCCGACTGGGCTCTGTCACCCCCACAAGGTGGGCACAGATGACCTTGGCCATCTCGGTGGAGGCTGTCATGACCCCACAAGGCTGGCAGGCTGGCAGGCTGGCGTCACGCGCAGGACGCTGAGGGCCACGGGCAGCACGGCTGCAGCCTCACCAGCTACACATGGGGAGGGCGGTGCCCAGGTGATCTTGGGTAAGCTCTCTGCAGGCACCTGGGGCTTCAGGAAGCAATTCTGCCTGGCCTGACTCCGGGCCCTGGGATAGGAACCCCAGCTTTGAGCAGGGGCCCTGCACGCTCTCGCCTGAGAACACACAGCTGCTGCCTACCAGGACACAGTTCCCACGCCCCACTGTCCTGTCCCAAGCTGGCTTTTTCTTCACTTCTCTCCCCAGGCTGTGAATCTGGTAAATCTCCCTGCTCCCTCTGGCTGCTGAAGCTGCAAAATGGACAGAAAGCAGCCGATAACAGCCCTGGGCCCCTGCACCTGTGTGGGAAACAAGGCAGAGACTCCTGGCTTTGAATCGACGCAGTTCCGGCCATTGCGGCCTTCTGGGGAGTGAATCAGCGGATAGAAGACCTTTCTCTCTCTGCCTCTGCCTCTCTATAACTCTATCTTTCAAAAAATAAATAAATCTTTTTTAAAAAATGACCATGAGGGGCCGGCAATGTAGCGCAGCGGGTTAATTCCCTGTCCTGAAGCACCGGCATCCCATATGGACGCCAGTTCGAGACCTGGCTGCTCTACTTCCAATCCAGCTCTCTGCTATGGCCTGGGAAAGCAGTAGAAGATGGCCCAAGTCCTTGGGCCCCTGTACCCACATGGGAGACCCAAAGGAAGCTCCTGGCTCCTGACTTCAGATTGGCGCAGCTCATGGCCAGTTGGGATGGAAGACCACCACCCCCACCTCTCCCCTCTCTGTGTAACTCTTTCAAATAAATAAATCTTTAAAAAAAAAAAAAGAAAAAGACCAAAAGCCAATTAAAAAGGGGGGGGGGCATTTGGCTCAGTGGTTGAGGCACTGTTTGGGACGCCCACATCACACATCCAAGGGTCCGAGTTAAATTCCTGGTTCTGGCTTCTAACTCCAGCCTCCTGCTGATGCGCAGCCTGGGAGACAGCACTGAAGGCTCGAGAACTTAGGTCCCCTTTTTCCAGCCACCCATGTGGGAGACCTGGATGGAATTCCTGCCTCCCACTTTGGCCTGGCCCAGCTCCAGCCATTGTGGGCATTTGGCGAGTGAGCCAGCAGATGCAAGACCTCTGTATCTTTCTGTTACTCTCTGCCTTTCAGATAAAAGAATAAAAAAATTTTAAAAACATGATTAACATATGAATTTGAGGATTGTTCCCCACACGTGGACTTTTGGGAGACACGTTGAATGCGCAGCAGGCAGGTTTGTGGCTCTGTGTCCTGACCTGATGATGCGTGCCTCAGTTTCCCCATCTGCACAATGGGATGACAGCAGAACCTGCTTCGGGTGTGTTGTGAGGGAGCGCTCTACAAATGGTGGTTGTGGGTGGGGGTGGTCAATGCCCGGGGACCTGGATGGGGAAGCCCCTGGGGGCCGCCTTCCCGCCCTGCCTTTCCTGGAGCAGCCTAGGCCCCCTGGGCCTTTCTGGGTCCTCCAGCTACCCCCTCCCTCTTCTGCAGCCTCATTCCCAGGCATCCGGCCAAGCTCCCGGCCATGTGCTCAGTCCTCCCTTCCACCAGCTGCTTCCTGTGCTCAGACAAAGGAGCCTGTGTCCCTAGGCCACCCCACACGACCCAGACGCAGGCAGCAGTGTCTCCCAGCCCTGCCCTGGGCTCCTGGGCAATTTGGGGGTCCCCTGGCCCTGTTCTGTGGGATCCTCACTGGAAGAGGGAACTCTGGGACAGTGTGGAAAGTCAGGAGGACGGGAGTGTAGCGGGGCTGGAATGACTCTGAGTGACCCTAACAGAATGACGGGGGGGTGGTGGCTCACGGTGACATTAATGGAGTGACAATGTGACAGCAACAGGTGACAACGTAATAGAAGCTGGGTTGACAGGGTGACGACTGGACAGCAACAGGTGGCATTGCAATTTCAGAAACCAGAGAGAACTGAGGTCCTGTTGAAGGGAGAAGGATCCGTGGACGGCCGTGCTGGGTGGCAGCAGGAAGAGGGGTCGACAGTAAGGCAGTCGGAGATGGTGGCTGATGCAGGTCGGGAGGGGGTGGAGAGCCCAGTGACTGGTGACACAGCGTCTTCAAAAAGCTCATGCAGGATGCATATTATGAAGAACACAATGTACATGCTTCAAAGGTTTTTTTGCACCAAAATAATCTTATCTTTAAAAAACTTTGACACTGAGACAGAGAGAGGTCTCCCATTCACAAGATTACTCCCTAAATGCCCACAACAGACAAGGTCGGGTCAGACTGAAGTCTGGAGCCAGGAGCTCCATCCGGGTCTCCCATGTGGGCAGCAGGGGGCCAAGAACTTGAGCCCTCACCTGCTGCCTCCCAGGGTGTGCATTAGCAGGCAGCTGGAATTGGGAGTGGGGCCAGGATTTGAACCCACAGCCTCCTACGTGAGAAACAGCCATCCCAAGGGGCATCTTATCCACTGCACCAATTGCTCACCCCAGGGTTTCCATTTTGACGGGGGACAGCATGACCGGCTTTGTCTCTGTGACTGCCCTGCCCTGGCCCAGCACTGTGGCCCCCCGGGCCCAACAGCGACGTGGTTGGTGCAATCGTGGGGGTGACCCTGGCAGTGCGGCTCAGATGGCAGGAACCAAAATGGTGCCCCAGTGTTGGGGTGGGCACAGCGGCAAGCGGGCTCTCTGCTGTCATCCGAGCTCCCCACAGCCCTGCCCCTTGGGCCCCTCTTCCTCTCATCTACCCCTGGACTCCTGCTTCATGCTCTGCAGCCTGGGCACACTCCCCAGGCCTGTCCCTCTAGCACACTGCTGCAGGCAGGCACCTGGCACGGTGGTTGGAACTCTACTCGGGACGCTGGGACCCCACCTCAGGGGCCGGGGTCTGAGTCCTGGATCTCCCCGCTAATGCAAACCCCTAGAGGCGGCAGTGATGGCTCAAGTCGGGGACCTGGATGGAGGCGCTCACCCCCATCAGCTCTGGGCTCTCCCACCCTAAACCCCACACCCGTCACTGCTGAGCCAACCTGACCCTGGGGTTCCCTCCCTCACGTTCCCCCACCCCCTCCCATGTGACCCTGCTTCCTGGGGAGAGAAGAGGTCCCTGAAGCCAGCCTACACTTCCTATTCCCCCAGCTCAGCACCCCTGCCCCCACACCGAGGCTCAGGCTAGGCGGAAGCCATGAGCCCAGAGCTTCTTCCGGGTCTCCCACGTGGATGCAGGAACCATAGGTGCATCAGCAGGGAGCTGGATCAGAAGTGGAGCAGCCAGGACTCCCGCCAGTGCTCACATGGGTCACAACCTGCACACACTCTTAACTCCCGGCCGTCTCCTCCACCCACCGTTCTTCCCTCCTATTTTCTGGTTCCTTCTCTTTCCCAGCCTCTCAGTGCCCCATCCCCAGGCACAGGGCTCCCTCCCCTCCTCCTCTCCTCTGCTCCGGGGATCCAGCCCTTGAGGGCTGAGCTAAGACCTTCCCAGCTGGGGTGTGTGGGCAGCCTGTCTGGGAGGGCCCCTCTCCCTGCCTTCTCCCCAGACCCCTTTCCATTCTTTAGAACAAGACGAGCAGCTCACCTGACCATCTACCTGGCAGAGACAGACCTGGGTCTGATTTCCAGCTCCACCGCTAGTGAGTTTTGTGAAGCCAGAGAAACTATGCCACCTCTATGCACCTCAGTTTGCTCATCTATACAATGGGTACAGTCCACCCAGGCCTCTCTGGTGATTGAATCACATGCAAGGCCAGAACTCTCAGCACCACACCTGGCATGCCCGAAGTACCCGGGAAACACCAGCCGGCACTGACTTCAAGAAAATGGAATTCAAAGATTGGCTTATTTTGGTGCAAAACACGTCTGGAAATCCAGGCATATGCAAGGTCCTAAAAACCTCATGGGAAATGTGTGCTATGGAAAGACTAGTTTATTCTGCACCAAAATATATATTTTCTTTAAAAAGACTCTTTTATTCATGAACTTCCTGAGGTGCCCTTGCATGCTTGTTTATTCCATTCTCAGATGCTGTGAACGGACGCACATTCAGCACACAGCTTTGAGAATTCGATAGAGTGAACTCATACTTTGGGGTGTGGAGGGGAATTTTTAAAGCGGGCTTTGCTGGACACATAAGAGTTTGCCTGGTGGCGTAACAGCCGACTTCCCGGGTTAGGATCGCTGATGGCGTCTGTAGAGACACCTCGACATGGGGCAGTGTAGATTCCGGCTGGAAGGCGGGATCAATCCCATGACAGGTGGGAGCCTCAGACAGACCTGAAATTCTGGAACTTGGGCATTTGTAAGCCTGAAAAAGCGTAGGCCTGCTCCCCAGGGAGGCGCATCTTCTCTTTGTTTTGCCTACATCTTTAGCCCCCCCGCCCCAATCTCAGTTGACCCAAGAACCTAGTCTCCGGGCGCCAGGTGAGTCGGTCGCCCTGGGAATCCTGCGTGCCCCGAGGGCGGGGGAGTGCCTCCCAGGTAAGCCCCGGTGTCCCCGCCCCGGCCCGGGTCCAGGGCGTCCACCCAACCCATCCGGAGCCCCACCTCGGGGCGCCCTCCTGCTCGGTCCGCCCGCGAGCGCGCAGCCCCGGGAGCCACGATCACGCCCTCCCCTTGCCTCCTCCCGCCCCCACCCGCCCCCCGTGGCTGCTCTGGGCCGGGAGCGCGGCGGGGTCGGCCGCTTGGTCTTGCGCTCCGGCCCCGGGGCCCCCAGCGCCGCGGGAGCCAGCCCTGCAGCGCCGAGCCCCACGCGTCCGTCCGCCGTGCCCGCCTCCACGCGCGCCGCCCGGCAGGTAGGGGAGGCGCGGGCCCCGCGGCGGGGCGGGAGCGGGGTGGAGGGGGGCGAGCGGGGCCGCGAGGAGGGGGAGGGGATTCCTTTGTTCGCAGCCGGGAAGCCCCGGGCCCAACCCCCTCCCCTCCCCGCCATCTGCGGGGCGCGAGGCGCCGGGGCCAGGAGGGGCTCAACTGGGGCCCCGAGTCGCAGGTGAGGGCGGAGCCGAGGCTGGCGGCGGGCCCGGGAACCCGCGTGCTCGGCCCTGTCCGGAGGAGACCGCGGCTCGCGGGCCCCGCGGCGCCCCCTCCCCGTCGGCCGAGCCCAGAATCCCTCGCTGGCCACCCGTGAGGTGCGCGGTTCCCCGCTCATTCATTTCACAAACTCCGGACGCGCCGCTCGCTGAGGCAGAGGGGCGCGCGGGGGCGGGGGTGGGGGGGAGCCAGGTCAGTCAGGTCCGGCCCGGCCAGAGACCCCTCCCCACCCCCCAGGCAGGCCGGGGTGGGAGGCAGAACCTGCAGACCCGGCACAACTCGGGAGCAAGGGGGCGCCCCTCCCCAGCAGGGGGGACCCTCCGAGGTTGACCAGGGTCTCTTCCTGGGAGGGGCCCGGGGTGAGGGTTGGGACCACCTGGTTGGGCTCACTCCCTGCTTCCAGCCACCCTGACCCCAGGTCCAGTGACTTTACTCCCTGGTCTGCAAAGCGGTACCCGAAAAAGGCACGGGAGGGGGGCGGGTAGCACTTGGTTGGCCACCCCCCCTCGCCCTTAGGATGCTCCCACACCTGCGCCCCGGCCTTGGCCTGGGTGGGTGGGGGCCCCATCTCCCCTCTGCCTGGCCTCCCCTCCCTCTGGCCCCTCGCTGGTGACAGCCGTCACCTTCACTTGCCCCTTCCCTCCTGGGCTCCACAGGGGAAGTTCAGTGGCTCTCATGCCCCTGCCAGGACATCCACTCCCGCCTCCCCCCACCCCTTCTAACGCCCATTCCCTCCCACCCAAGCCCCCTCAGTGGCCCCCACACAGTCCGCCCACTACAGCCCCTCCACCACACCCTGCTCCGAGAAGCCTGCCCTGACCGTCACCTGCTCCCCGGCCCAGTTCTGTGGGGACCCCTGGCCGGGGGCGGGTGTCCACTGGGGCTGATTCCACCTCCTCTCCACAGCCCCCCAGGCACAGTCATGACTCTGCAGGGTCCACGCCGGGCAGGGACAGGAGCCGGAGCCCTCCCCGCGGCCCGAAGCCCCCTGGCTCGGCTCCTGCTGGCGTGGACGGTCCTGTCGTGCGTGGTGGGCGGCCGAGGCCGCTGGGACCGGGCCCCGGGGCCTGCAGCTCCTGGACAAGTACAGAGGCGCAGCAGCCCGGGCCCCTTGCAGGGGTGCGTGGTCCCCGGGGGACTGAGGCCCCCGCTGGGGGTGTGGGCTAGGGAGGCGCTGTCCTGGGGCCAGGAGATGGACAGCGGGCAGGGGCTCACCAGCCACATCCCGCTGTCCCTCAAGGGCCAACGTATGTGGCTCCCGCTTCCACGCCTACTGCTGCCCCGGCTGGAGGACGCTGCCTGGCAGGAGCCAGTGTGTCGTGCGTGAGTGCGGCGCCTCCTGGCGGGGGAGGGGGTCGCAGGTAGGGGCCCTGTCCACAAGTCGATACGTGCACTTGGCCAGGGCTCCCTGGCAGAACCCCAGAGTGCCCTGAGCTTTGTCCGCTGGCTCCCAGGTCACCTGTGCCTATGTGAGTCTCTTTCTCTGGAATCTAAGGTCATGCCCCACAGCCCCCAGCACCTCTGACCCCCTCCCTGGCAGGCACATCCCCTGCAGACAGGGCTGTGCGTGCATGCGTGCGCGTGCCCGAGTGAGGCGGGGAAGTGGGCGGCCCGCAGCGCCCAGCCGGGCATGACCGCCGGGCGCTCCCCGTGCAGCCATCTGCAGGCACCCCTGTGGCGAGGGCTTCTGCTCCCAGCCCAACGTGTGCGCCTGCGCTGACGGGACACTGGCCCCCAGCTGCGGGGTGAGTCGAGGTGAGCAGGTCGCGGGTCTCCAGCCGCTGGGCTGCTTCTGCCCGCCACGCGGGGCCCGCCTCCCCCTCACCGTGCGCCCCCCCCCCGCCCCCTCCTCAGGCTCGGGGTGCAGCGTGAGCTGCATGAACGGGGCCAGCTGTCAGGGGGAGTCGTGCCTGTGCCCCCGCGGCTACACAGGCACCGTGTGCGGGCAGCGTGAGTACCCCCCGGGGGCCCGGGGAGGCGATTCCTAGCTCATCAGGGGTGTGGGGAGTGCCGGCTGGGACAGGCTCACCCAGGCACCTGCAGCCACCACTCTCTGTCTCCTCCACAGCCGTCTGCGACCATGGCTGCCACAACAGGGGCCGCTGCATCGGGCCCAACCACTGCTCCTGCGTGTATGGCTTCAGGGGCCCTCAGTGCGAGCGAGGTACCGAGGGAGCACTGGGTGGGGGTGGGGACAAGGCCAGGCCCCGAGAGAGTCCAGCTGGCCTCCTTCCTGCTGCGGGGCAGGCTGAGGACAGCTCTTCATCTGCTCACCCGTTCTCCCAAACATCTGTTGCTCACTGGCTCCGAGTGAGGGCCCCCGGTTGGAACCAGATTGGAAAGAGAGAGGATGTAGCTGCCTGGGTGAGGGGCAGGGTGAGGAAGAAGCTAGAAGCAGAAAATGGGAACCCAGGGAGGTCAATGCAGTGACATGGGAAAGCCATGGGCTCCAGGGAAGGCCATCAGGGAGGGCTTCCTGGAGGAGGGGACTTCTCAGCTGACTCTCGCAAGATAGGCAGGAGCGCATGAGATGGAAAGATGTTACAGAGAGAAAGGGGAGAGAGACCAGAATCTTCCGTCCACGGGTTCACTCCCCAAATGGCCGAAAAGGCCAGGCCAAAGCCAGGAGATGGGACTTGAACCTGGGTCTCACCCGTGGGTGGCAGGGGCAAGACTCGGGCTTTCCCAGGCCGTTAGCAGGAGTGCACCAGAAGTAGTCAGCGCTCCAAACGACGCCCACACAGGATGCCAGCGTAGCAGGCGGCGGCTACACCTGCTGTACCACGGTGCCAGGACCCCTCCCCCTTACACAGGTCCCACAGACTGAGGGGGGCGGGCTCAGCTGCTGAGGGGCTGGGGGCAAAACTCCATGGTGGACGCGATGCTGTTCCAGAGCCTGGGTGTTGGGAGGGAGTCGAGGACAAGCCCCCAGTCTGGCCTGGAAGGTAGAGGCAGGGGCAGGGAGGGGACAACTCTGAACTTGCTGTTGGCTGAGATGGGAGATGTCCCCAGGCGGGCGGCCTCACAGAGCCCAGCATGGCCCAGGAAGCTACAAGGCCCGGGGTAGCAGCTCCCTGAGGCTAACGCCTGCATTGTGGCTGAAGCCAGTGGGAGCCGGAATAGCTGGGAGGGGCTGGGGGCTGCCGGGGTAGGGGTGGGGGCAGCCAGGAGGGGCTTCGGGCTGCACGAGGGTGAGATTCCGGAAATGTGGGTGGGTCTGACAGTGAGGACCCTGGATTGGGCCAGGGCTGGGGGCCTGGGGCAGCCACACCTCCAGGGGTCTCAGGGGGGCCTGGGGTGGGGGTGGCTGTGGCTTCCTGGCTGGCTCCTCTATTGGAAACATCTGGAGGGTGGAGACAGGAAGTCACCACATCTGGGCTCCTGCATAGCCACCTTGGGCTGGGCCCTGGGCGTCATTGGGGTTCCGGGCCCAGGACATTCAGAGGCAGATGGCGGGTCCCTCCTGGGCGTGCCCGCTGTGGGTCTGTGCTCAGGCTTGAGGGGAGGGGTGCCTGAGATGGGGTCCCGACCTGCCCTGACCTCTGTGGGCCTCAGAGGTCTTGGCCTCCCTCTCGGGGCTGGTTCAGCCACTGCTCTGAAAAATGTGGGTTTTGAAGGGTGAATAAGAGTTCAGTAAGTAGGGCCGGGAAGAGAAGACATTCGACTCAGCAAGAGTCAGAGAACGGGTTGGGGTGCTGGTGCCGGGGCCCCCGGAGCAGAGGAGGCCCACGGGCAGCCGCCGGCCTCTGTGTGCTCCGCAGACTACCGGACTGGGCCCTGCTTTGGCCAGGTGGGCGCTGAGCGGTGCCAGCAGCAGCTGACCGGCTTCCCGTGCACCAAGGCGCTCTGCTGTGCCACGGTGGGCCGGGCCTGGGGCCTCCCGTGTGAGCCCTGCCCTGCACAGCCGCACCCCTGCCGCCGCGGCTTCATCCCCAACATCCACACCGGGGCCTGCCAGGGTGAGTCGTGGGGGCTGGGGAGCCAGGGCGGAGCCGGCCGCCCGTCGCGGCTTTGGGTCCTTCCTGGGACGGGCCTCTCACCCCCTTGCAGATGTGGACGAGTGCCGGGCCGTGCCGGGCTTGTGCCGGGGCGGCAGCTGCCTCAACACTGTGGGCTCCTTCGAGTGCCGCTGCCCGGCCGGACACCAGCTGGACGACGGCGGCACCACTTGTGAAGGTGGGCGGCGGCGTGGCGTGGCGCGGCGGGGGCTCACCTCCACCATGGAGATCCAGGCTCCGTTAACCCTCTGTGTCTTCGCAGATCTGGACGAATGCAGCAGCCGGCCGGGCCCCTGCGCCGGCGGCGACTGCGCCAACACGGTTGGGAGCTTCGTGTGCCTCTGTCCCCGCGGCTTCACCAGCAGCCTGGACGGCAGCCGCTGCCAGGGTGAGCGGGGCTGAGGCGGCCGGAGCCACGCCCTGTCCCACCCAGGCCTCTAGGCCCCTCTAAGCCCTCCAGTTTCTACGACTCGGCCTTCCTGGACCCCCGTTTCCATCCCTTCTGACATGCTGGCTCCCTTCCCATCAGCCTCTGCGCTGTTGTGAACCCCCATGGGGGAGCCCCTTCAACCTCCCTCATCTCGGCCCTCAAGCGCTCTGGGCTCCTGGCTTAGCCGCTCGACTCCAGTCTCTCGCCCCTCCTGGGCTCCTGGCTTAGCCGCTCGACTCCAGTCTCTCGCCCCTCCGCACCTCAGGCTAAGCGGGTCTGGCTCACAGGCCGCAGCCCCTGACCCTCTAGCTTGCATCTCTATGCCCGCCCCCCCCGCCTCTCTAGCTTTCATCTCGATGCCCCCACTCTGACCCTCTAGCTTGCATCTCTATGCTCCCCGCCTCTCTAACTTTCATCTCGATGCCCCCACTCTGACCCTCTAGCTTTCATCTCTATGCCCCCGACACTCTAGCTTTCATCTCGATGCCCCCCCGACTCTCTAGCTTTCATCTCGATGCCCCCCCTGACTCTCTAGCTTTCATCTCGATGGTCTGTCCCCGTCCTCCGCCTTCTATCTCAATGCTCTCTTGCCCATTGTCCTCCGCAGCCCTCCCAGTGTCTCTGTGCCTCCTCCCTCCAACCCATTTTTGAGATGGGGAAATTGAGGCCCCGAGAAAGCAGGTTCACTTGAGGCAGCTCGACAGTCCAAGCCGATCATTCTCCCAGCCGGGGTTGGGGGTGGAGGTCTCTGGGCTGTACCCGACCCTGGCTGCGCACCCTCCTGCAGACCCCCACCTCCCCAGCGCCTGTGCGCTGCCTGGCCCGTCAGGGGACTGTTCACTCTCCGGGCACCCACCCCTCATCCTGCTATCTTGATGAGCTGGTCGTCAGACCAGAGACATGGACACTGGTGGGGGTGGGGCAGGGCCCTGGGCATCTTTGTAGGGCGCCACCTCCGAGGCCATCATGCTCCACCCTCAACCATGGGGGCCTTTCCTGGCTTCTGAAGAGCAGTGCCTGCGTGTGAACCGAGTGAGGTCCCCAAACATGGGCTTTGAATCCAGCTGAGCTTCACCCTGGGCTGTGTGACCTTGGGCAAAGGGACCACTCTGTGCCTCAGCTGTGAGGTGGGGAGTGGGGCGGTCCCTACCTCGTGGTGTCCCAGAGCTGAATGAGGTACAGTTGGGGCAGTGGCCTGCGGATGGCTGGCATACAGTGGGTGCTCAATACATGTGCACAGGGGGCAGGGGGTTTCCTGCTGGGCCACAGATTGGGGGCCTGGCCAAGGTGGGCGCCTAACGCAACACTGGTTATTGTTTGCATCAAAACCCTGGGCTGTCCCCACCTCCCCCACCTGAGATGCACCTGCTCCTCTTCTCACTGCAGCAGTGAGATGACCCTGACCTTGAACTCTGCTGACCTCTCCAGGTCTGGGCAGGCCTGGTGGGGGTGGGGGTGGGGGTGCCCAGGTGCACTGGGAAAGTGGAAACATTTGTGTCAGAGTGAGAGGGGTTTCTCAACTGCTGTACTGGGGCCAAGATGTCTGGGTCTTTAGATCTAAAAATGCACTCTTTGTATCGATAGTGGAAACGTCCCATCACCCGGTAAAGCTGTCAGATTCCAGGGCCTGCACGTCCATGGCTCTCCCAGACCTGGGGACCCTCTGCCTCGGTCTCCCCAGGAGCCGTGGCTGTGGCTGCACACTGTGCTCCTTGGGACCCGTTTCAGATTCTCAGCCAGTTCAATCTCCCAGTAACAGGCACTACTCTCCTGAGATGAGGTGATGTTCGGAGTGTCCCCACTCCATGGATGTGAAAACTGAGTTGCAGAGAGAGAAGGAGGCCCATCGTGCAGGCACTACTGGTGCTAATGGTGTAAGGGTTGTGGGATTTAAATTTTTTTTTATTTGAAAGGCAGGTAGGGGCTGGCATTGTGGTGCAGCGGGTTAAGCCACCACCTATGACACCAGTGTCCCATATGAGTGCCGATTTGAGTCCCCGGCTGCTCCACTTCCAATCCAGCTTCCTGCTAAAGTGCCTGGGAAAGCAGCAGCCGATGGCCCAAGTACTTGGGCCCCTGCCACCAACATGGAAGACCGGGGTGGAGTTCTTGGCTACTGGATTTGATGTGGTCCAGCTCTGATTATTGTGGCTATTTGGGGAATGAACCAGCAGACAGAAGATCTCTCTATCTGTCTCTACCTTTGTAAAACTCTGCCTTTCCAATAAATAAATAAATCTTAAAAAGAAAAAGGCAGAGAGATAGACGTCTTCCATCTACTGGTGCGCTCCCCAAATACCCACAACAGCTGGGGCCAGGGCTGGGCCAGGCGGAAGCCAGGAGCAGAGAAGTCAACCTGGGTCTCCCGTTTGGGTGGAGGGACCCAAATACTTGAGCCCTCACCTGCTGCCTCCCAGGGTGTGCGTTAGCACAGAGCTGGAATCAGGAGGGGAGCTGGGACTCGAACCCAAGCACTCCAAGCTACAGCTGTCTCCAGTAACATCATAATCGTTGTGCCAAATACCCACCCACGGCTGGCATTTGGATCCAGGTCTGATAAAACCAAAGCCCCAACCCTTCCTCCCCATTGCAGATCGCCGGGTCGGCACCTGCTTCTTGATGGTCATTGGAGGCCGCTGTGCCAGAGACCTCGGCGGCCACTCCACGCACAGGCAGTGCTGCTGTGACAGGGGCAGGTGCTGGGCAGCTGGCCCGGCCCCTGAGCTGTGTCCTCCACGGGGCTCTGGTGAGTGAAGGCGCCAGGCTTTGGACTGGACCCCAGGGCAGGCCCAGGGGCCTGGCCTCAAATGCTGTTCCTTGCAGATGAGTTCCAACGGCTGTGCGTCCAGGGGCTCCCACTGCCGCCTTCCCACTCCGGCCTCCCAGGCTTCAGACTCAGTGCATTCGGACCTGCTCTGGGGCCAGCACGACCCAGGCCCCAGGGCTCCAATGGACATGTGGTCCCCAGGCTGGGTCCTGGCAGCTCCAGCATTGGTGAGGCCCTGGACATGGGCAGGAGGGGTCCAAAACCAGGGGCTGGGGCCAGAGCCCTGAGTGGGGGTGGGAGGTCTTGGCTTTGGTGGTGGTGGGGGTGTCCCTGCCTGGATTGTTCAGCTGACAGCACAGTCAGGCCTTCGTGTCCATGGGGTTCAGGGCCCTGGATTCAGCCTGCCATGAATGGAAAATACTTGAAGGAAGAATTACGTATGAATTGAGCACGTACAGACTTTTTTCCTTGTATGCGGTTCCCTAAGCAGCCCAGTAGAATAGCTGTTTATGTCGTCTTGACACTGTGCTGGGTATTTTTGGTGGCTGAATAATTTATTACATCTTTTATTTTTTTAAGATTTATTTATCCAAAAGGCAGAGTGACACACACGCACACACACACACACACACGTTCCATCTGCTCAGTTATTTTTCAAACACCCACAAGGGCTAGTGCTGGTCCTGATGAAACCAAGAGGCTGGGACTCAATCTGGGTCCCCGCTGTGGGCGGCAGGGACCCACGCACTTGAGCCATCACTGCTGCCCCCCAAGGTATGCATCAGCGGGGAGCTGGGATCAAGGGCAGAGCTGGGACTTGAACCCTGGTCCTCTGATATGTGGTGTGGGCATCCCGAACAGCATCTTTTTTAAAAGATTTATTTATTTATTTAAAAGGCAGGGTTACAGACAGGCAGAAGCAGAGAGACAGGGAGAGACAGAGGTCTTCCATCTGCTAGTTCACTCCCCGAAATGGCCGCAATAGCTGGAGCTGAGCTGATCCAAAGCTAGGAGCCTGGAGCTTTTTCTAGGTCTCCCATGTGGGTGCAGGAGCCCAAGCACTTGGGCCATCTTCTGCTGCTTTCCCAGGCCATAGCAAGAGAGCTGGATTGGAAGTGGAGCAGCTGGAATCGAACTGGCACCCATATGGTATGCCGGCACTGCAGGCATTGGCTTTACCCATTATGTCACAGCGCCAGCCCCCCAAGCAGCATCTTAACCACTGTGCCAAATGCCCACCCCAAACTTCTCTTTTAGTTCCTTTTTTCCATGAACTTGAAACTTTTTTAAAAAATTTATTTGAAAGGCAGAGACAGCCGGCGCCGCGGCTCACTAGGCTAATCCTCCACCTAGCGGCGCCGGCACACCGGGTTCTAGTCCCGGTCGGGGTGCCGGATTCTGTCCCGGTTGCCCCTCTTCCAGGCCAGCTCTCTGCTATGGCCAGGGAGTGCAGTGGAGGATGGCCCAGGTCCTTGGGCCCTGCACCCCATGGGAGACAAGGAGAAGTACCTGGCTCCTGTCATCGGATCAGTGCGGTGCGCCGGCCGCAGCGCGCCAGCCGTGGCGGCCATTGGAGGGTGAACCAGTGGCAAAAAGGAAGACTTTTCTCTCTGTCTCTCTCTCTTTCCTTGTCCACTCTGCCTGTAAAAAAAAAAAAAGGAAAGAAATAAAGAAAAGAAAAAAATGAAAGGCAAAGACAGAGAATGAGATGTCTTCCATCCACTGGTTCACTCCCCAAATGGCCACAATGGCCAGGGGTTGGCCAGGCTGAAGCCAAGAGCCTGGAGCTTCTTCTGGGTCTCCCTCATGGGTGCAAGGGTCCAAGCACTTGGGGCATCTTCTGCTGCTTTCCCAGGTGCATTAGCAGAGAGCCGGATTGGAAGTGGAGTAGCCGGGACTCAAACTGGCGCCCATATGGGATGCTGGGGTTGCAGGTGGAGGCTTAACCTGCTATGCCACAGTACCGGTCCCAACCATGAACTCTTTGAAGTTCCCCTTGTGCAAATACTATGGCATTTTCTGAGTAACTTGAGCATCCAAGGGGTTTGGCAGCCACGGCGGGTCCTGGAACCAAGCCCCCTGTAGACCCCAAGGGGCTGCTGTGCTGACAACGGGCTGAGTTGGGGGAGACTGGGGATCTGGACCTCAAGGTCAGGGTTGTTGAGTGGGGAATCCAGGCTGAGCCTCAGAGACTGGGCTTCTTCAAGTCTGAGTCAGGGAGGTAGGTGGGTGTTTAGGCCTGAGATGGGAGTCTGGCCCCACAGTGAGGTGTTGAGTGCAGGGTGGAGATCTGAACCGGAAGTGGGTTGTGAGCCAGGTAGAGTCCCAGCCTCAGGGGGCTGTCAGGGCCAGCAGTGAAGCCCAGGCTGGGTGTGCAGGCAGCCCCACCGGCCCCTCCCACAGGCACAGTAGCTCTGAACCAGACCATCAACATCTGCCGACACTTCACCAACCTGTGCCTCCATGGCCGCTGCCTGCCCACTCCGTCCAGCTACCGCTGTGAGTGCCACGTGGGCTACACCCAGGATGTGCGTGGCGAGTGCATCGGTGAGTGGCGGCTGGGTGGAGTGCGGTGGGCGTGCCTGCCTTGCTGGGCCCGGGCTCAGGGTCGCGCTGCCCCCAGATGTGGATGAGTGTACCAGCGGCCCTTGCCACCATGGAGACTGCGTCAACACCCCCGGCTCCTACCACTGCCGATGCCACGAGGGCTTCCAGGCCACGCTCACCAAGCAGGCATGCCTGGGTATGGCTGTCCAACCATCCATGCATCCATCCTTCCATCCATCCATTCTGATTGTTCATCTATCTACCTAACTGTGAATCCATCCATTATCTATGCACCCACCCATCCATCCATGCCTCCATCTGATCATCTGTCCATCTACCCATCCACTATCCACTCATCTACACAGTCATCCTTCTATCCATCCATCCATCCATCCATCCATCCATCCATCCATCCATCCACACATCCATTTATCCATCCATCCAAGAATGAGGAGCAAAGGGGTGGGGGACACAGCCAGGGGCAGGAGGCCGCTTCCTGACTGCCCACCTCCCTCCCCACAGATGTGGATGAGTGCCTCATCAGCGGTGGCCTTTGCCCCCTGGGCCGCTGTGTCAACACAGAGGGCAGCTTCCAGTGTGTCTGCAACGCAGGCTTTGAGCTGGGCCCCGATGGCAAGAGCTGTGTGGGTGAGTTGGGGGTGGGCAGGGCTTCTGGGCCCCTGCAGCTGCCATGGAGGGCCACCCTAACTCTTCATCCTGCTCAGCTCACCTGAGACCCCCACCTGTCCCCTGTGCACCCCCCAGCACACACTCACTCCTTCATTCCCTCCTTCCTGAGTTCAGTCCACATAGCCAAGGAAACGGGTCTTTTGAGCAAGACCACACCATTAACAACATCCTGATCTAGGCCTTGATTAAGGGTCTTTGTCCTGGCCCAAGGTGGACCCAAAACAGGCTGGACACTGAGGGTGCAGTGGGCCCTGGGAGAACACTGGCCTTCATGCCTTCACACTCCCCATGGGGTGGGGGTGGGGTATGGGTTTGGCTCCCGTGGCCACTGCCTGTGGGGACCTCTGGGCCCTCTTCTTCCTAGGCTGAGATCTGCCTTTCAAATTTCGCTTACATGAAAGGGTATTTCTCCGTCTGTTCATTTTCTTTTTTCTTTTTTTTTTTTTAAGATTTATTTATTTGAAAGTCAGTTGCACAGAGAGAGGAGAGGCAGAAAGAGAGAGACAGAGACAGAGACAGAGAGAGGTCTTCCATCCTCTGGTTCACTCCCCAATTGGCTGCAATAGCACCAAGCGGAAGGCAGGAGCCAGGAGCTTCTTCTGGGTCTCCCCAGCTGGTGCAGGGGCCCGAGGGCTTGGGCCATCTTCTACTGCTTTCCCAGGCCATAGCAGAGAGCTGGATTGGAAGTGGAGCAACTAGGACTCAAACCGGCACCCATATGGGATGCCGGCACTTCAGGCCAGGGTGTTAACCCACTGCACCACAGTGCTGACCCCCATCTGTTCATTTTCAAAGAACTTTTTTTGGCAGGCAGAGTGGACAGGGAGAGAGAGAGAGACAGAGAGAAAGGTCTTCCTTTTGCCATTGGTTCACCCTCCAATGGCCACCGCAGCCGGTGCACTGCGGCTGGCGCACCGCACTGATCCGATGGCAGGAGCCAGGTACTTATCCTGGTCTCCCATGGGGTGCAGGGCCCAAGCACTTGGGCCATCCTCCACTGCACTCCCTGGCCACAGCAGAGAGCTGGCCTGGAAGAGGGGCAACCGGGACAGAATCCGGCACCCCGACCGGGACTAGAACCCGGTGTGCCGGTGCCGCTAGGTGGAGGATTAGCCTAGTGAGCCGCGGCACCGGCCTTCAAAGAACTTTTTTTAGCATCTTGATTCATATACAGAGGTGCTTCCAAATATTCATGGAAAATGGAATTGAAAGATAAGTTTATTTTCATGTAGACATGTCTTTAAAAGATATATTTATTAGTTGAAAGGCAGAGTGTTAGAGAAGGGGAGAGAGATCTTCCATATGCTGGTTCACTCTCCAAATGGCCACAATGGCCTAGGGTAAGCCAGGTTCCCAGAACTCCATCCAGGTCTCCCATGGGGGTGGCAGGGACCCAAGAACTTGGGCCATCTTCCACTGCTTTCCTGGGCACATTAACAGGGAGCTGGACTGGAAGCAGAACAGCGGGGACTTGAACCAGCACTCATGGGATGCCAGCATTGTAAGTGACAGCTTAACTTGCCATGCCACAGTGCCAGCCCTGCCCATGTTTTTTGAAATCCGTTCACAACCCATAAAAGAAACTGTTTCAAGCATATGATTTGATGCTTTTAAAGTAGGTGCATAGGGTTGTACAAGCATCACTGAGTCAAAGTTGGGAAGTCTTTATCATCTCAGAAATGAACCTCACTTGGGGCTGGCGCTGTGGCATAATGGGTAAAGCCTCCATTTGCAGTGCCTGGCATCCCATATAGTCACCAGTTCAAATCCCACCTGCTCCCCTTCCGATTCAACTCCCTGCTAATGTGCCTGGAAAAGCAGCTGAAGATGGGCCAAGCATTTGGGCCCTTGCACCCATGTGGGAGACCTGGAAGAAGCTCCTGGCTTTGGATCAGCCCAGCTCCAGCAGTTGCAACCATTTGGGGGAGTGAACCAGCAGATGGAAGACTTTTAAATCTCTCTCTCTGTCTCTCTCTCTCCCTCTCCCCATCCCTCAGCCTCTCTGTAACTCTGCCTTTCAAATAAATAGATAAATCTTAAGAAAGAGAGAGAGAGAGAGAGAGAGAGAGAAAGGAACCTCTTCTCCATTCAGTTCCTCTATAATCTGCCTTCCTCCCCCAGACCTAATCCCACTGGGCTAATTCACCTATAAATGAAATCACACACTGTGTGGTCTTTTGTGTCTGGCTTCTTTACCTTGGCACCATGTCCTCAGGGTCCAGCCATGTTGTGCTATGGGTCAGTACTTTGTTCATTTTTCATGGCCAAGTACTATTCCACTACCTGGATAGACTACATTGTGTTTATTCATTCATAAGTTAATGGACTTTTTTTTTTTTTTAAGAGATTTGAAAGGCAGAGAGAGAGAGAGAGAGAGAGAGAGAGAGAGAGAGAGTTTTCTCTCCACTGGTTCACTCCCCAAATGGCTACAGCAGACAGGGCTAGGCCAGGCCAAACCAGGAGCCTGGAACTCTATCTGGGTTTCCCATATGGTTGCAGGGGCCCAAGGATATGGGACATCTTGTGCTGTCTTCCCAGGCCCATTAGCAAGGAGCTGAATAAGAAATGGAGCAGCCAGGGCTCCAACTGGCACCCCTATGGGTTGCTGGCACTGCAGGTGGCGGCTTCACCCACTGGGCCACAGCACTGGCTTCTGAGACGCAGGATCTTAACTGGAGTGCTAGCCACTGAGCTAAATGCCCAATCCTGCCCCCATTTTAAATAAGGGACTTAAGCATCTGCAGAGTTCCGTGGAACCAACCCCCTGCAGACACCCAGAAGGAGGACTGAGCCAGCGACCGTCCTATCAGGGTGGGCTTCCAGGGGCTCAGCCTTGGGGGCAAGCGAGAGGGAGGGGCCAGCCCAGCAGGTGATGCTGGCCCGGCGTGGCCCTGGCCTGGACCCAGCCTCTCCCCATGTCCCCAGACCACAACGAGTGTGCGGCCAGTACCGTGTGCCTCAACGGCGAGTGCGTCAACGAGGCCGGCGGCTTCACGTGTGTGTGCAAAGCCGGCTTCCTGCTGGCGCCCAGTGGCCGCTACTGCGTGGGTGAGGCCGGACCCTGGGCCCTGGAGGGAAGAGGAGGGGGCGGGGAGAAGAGAAGGCTGGAGGGAAGGAGCAGGAGAGAGGAAAAGGAGGGGGGAAGGAAAGGCTGGGGGAGAGGCAGGGTGGACGTTGGGCCGATGGGGAAGTGGGTGAGCCGGAGGGCGGGGCCCACCAGGTGGCACCTGGGCCCCCCGCAGACCTCGACGAGTGCCAGACCCCTGGCATCTGCGTGAACGGCCGCTGTGTCAACACGGAGGGCTCCTTCCGATGCCAGTGCCCCCCGGGGCTGGAGGTGGGCGCTGGTGGCCGAATGTGCCTGGACACACACATGCGCAGTACCTGCTACGGCGGCTCCTGCACCCGCCCCCTTCCCGGCGCGGTCACCAGATCCGAGTGCTGCTGCTCCAGCCCGGACCATGGATTCGGGCAGCCGTGCCAGCTCTGCCCTGCCAAGGACTCCGGTGAGTGTTCACCTCCTCGCTTCTGCGGATAAAAGGTGACGTCGGGTGGGGTTCCTGTGGGGGGGGGGGTGCTCACGGAGAGGGGGCTTCTCTCTGCTGGGGGCTGCTCCCCCCATGGGGGAAGGCAGGTGCTTTGTGGTCGCAGGCGATCGTCCAGGCCCTTGGCCGTGGCTCCGACTTCCCAAACCAGCCAGGGCCCCAACCCATCTCTCTCTCTCTCTGCTCTCTCCCACCTGCAGCTGAGTTCCAGGCTCTCTGCACCAGTGGTCTCGGCATCACTGCTGACGGTCGAGGTAAGTGGGCCCTACACACTGGGGCCAGCAGCACACCGCTGCCCTAGAGCTGCGGGAGGGGCGGGGCTGTGGTTAGAAATTGGGTGCGCTGCCTGGTCGGCTTCAGCAATGCAAACTCTGGCTGTCCTGAAGCCAGGAGCCCAAGATCAAGCTCCTTTTAGAAAAAAATTAATTATTTATGTTTTTAAATTATATATATTTTTTTATTTGCCAGCGCCGTGGCTCACTAGGCTAATCCTCTGCCTTGCAGCGCCGGCACACCGGGTTCTAGTTCCAGTCGGGGCGCCGGATTCTGTCCCGGTTGCCCCTCTTCCAGGCCAGCTCTCTGCTGTGGCCAGGGAGTGCAGTGGAGGATGGCCCAAGTGCTTGGGCCCTGAACCCCGTGGGAGACCAGGAGAAGCACCTGGCTCCTGCCATCGGATCAGCGCGGTGCGCTGGCCGCAGCACGCTGGCTGCAGCGGCCATTGGAGGGTGAACCAACGGCAAAAGGAAGACCTTTCTCTCTGTCTCTCTCTCTCACTGTCCACTCTGCCTGTCTAAATAAATAAATAAATAAATAATATATATATATATATATATATTTGAGACAAAGATCTCTCATCCGCTGGTTCACTCCCCAGATGCCCCCAGTGGCCAGGACTGGAGCCAGGGATCAATCTGGGTCTCCCACCTGAGAACCTGAGCATCACTGCTGCTTCCCATTAGCAGGAAGCTGGAATCAGGAGTGGAGCTGGGGGCTGACGCTGTGGCACAATGGGTTAATGCCCTGGCATGTAGCGCCAGCATCCCATATGGGCACCAGTTCGAGACCCTGCTGTTCCACTTCCGATACAGCTCTCTGCTATGGCCTAGGAAAGCAGTAGAAGATGGCCCAAATCCTTGGGCCCCTCCCCCCGCGTGGGAGACCCGGAGGAAGCTGCTGGCTCCTGGCTTCAGATCAGCACAGCTCCGGCTGTTGCGGCCAATTGAGGAATGAACCAGCAGATGGAAGATCTCTCTCTTTCTCTCTCTGCCTCGCCTCTCTCTGTGTAACTCAGACTTTCAAATAAATAAACAAATCTTTAAAAAAAAAAAAAAAAAAAAAAAAGGAGTGGAGCTGGGGCTTGAACCCAGGCACTCTGATAGGGGATGTGACACGTTAGCCACTGCACCAAATTTCCCTCCCCAAAGCATTTGCATCTGTGGTGGTTGAATCCTTGGATGTGCAAATGTCTGGGGACAGTTCTGACCCCCAGGGAACGCGTGGAAGTATCAGGAGAGAGTTGGTGGGGGGTGGGCTGCTGTCTTCTCACGGCTGCAGCCTGGGGGCGCTGCTCCACACAGGACAGGCTCCTTCATTAAGAATGCCCCAGTCCCAAATGTTTAGGGAGAACTGGGGGCAGGGACTGGGCTGGAGCTGTGGCCTGCTGACACCCTCCTCTGTCCTGCTACTGCAGACATTGACGAGTGTGCCCTGGACCCCGAGATCTGCACCAACGGCACGTGCGAGAACCTTCGGGGCAGCTACCGCTGCATCTGCAACCCGGGGTACCAGGCGGGTGCCACAGGGCAGGACTGCAGAGGTGAGTGTGCCAGCGGGCAGCGGGATGGGCCTTGCCCGCAGCACACCCTCACCCCTCTCTCCCACCTGCACCCTGCAGACGTGGACGAATGTGCCCTCAACCGCCTCCTGTGTGACAACGGGTGGTGCCAGAACAGCCCCGGCAGCTACAGCTGCTCCTGCCCCCAGGGCTACGGCTTCCAGCAGGACACAGAGACCTGTGAAGGTACAGGGTGCAACACAAGGGTCGTGCAGCCACATGCTGGACGCCTGTGGTGCATGTACATACAGAAACATGCGTGCTGCACGTTTGCAGAGACCCACATGCTCAGGCATGCACGGTGCATGTAGTATGCACACATACATGCTCAGGTGCTTTGCGTGTGCTGGTGCACACTCACGTGTGCCTTACGTGGTGTGTGCACATGCAGAATGCAAGCTGTGAGGATCACGTACTCAGATGCATGCTGCACAGGGCCCAGCTCTGTCCCTTCTGCAGTCTCCCTCCAGGTCTCACTCTTACCCTCGCCTGTGCCACAGCCCCTCGGAGTCACTGTGCTCCACTGCGCATGCTCATGGCACCCTGAGCCTCTGCTTTTCTGCCTGAGAATAACTAGTGTATCCCTGAGCCTTTCTGTCCAGTCCCCGACACCGAGCTCCTAATGCCCTTGTAATCTTCTGGGCCGTGGAGGGTCTAGGAGCATCCTCTGTTCTCAGGTCTGTTCTCTGGCCCCGGCTCTGAATTTCCTGGGGGATTGGAATGTCTTTCGTTCTAACAAGGTGCCTCTTTGGTGGCTTCAATCGGTCCAAGCCTTGAATAGAAGCTTGGACTCTGGGATCACACCCTCCTGCCCCATCTTCTGGGAAAATGGCTTTGTCACCAACCGTGTTTGGGTGCTGGAGCCCCCAAGAAAAACCTCTGACGTGGAAGGCTCTGAGAGCTTCCAGCTCCTGCACTAGCGGAAGTGCCCCGTGGCTGAGGCCCCCGGGTGTGCCCTGAGATGTCACTTGATGCATCTCTCCCACCTGAGCAATTATCTGCATCCCTTCTCTGTGTTTGGGTTTTTTTTTTTTTTTAGATTTATTAATTTATTTGAAAGGCAGAATGATGGAGGGAGAGAGAGAAAGAGAGAGAGACCTTTTATCCACTGGTCACTACCCAAATGGCTGCAACAGTGGGGGCTGGGTCAGGCCAAAGCCAGGAGCCTGGAGCTCCATCTTCCATTGCTTTTCCAAGCACATTAGCAGGGAGCTGGCTTGGAAGTGGAGCAGCCAGGGCTCGATCCAGTGCTGTTATGGGAAGGCAGTGCTGCAGGTGGTAGCTTAGCCTGATGTGCCACAACCCCTGACCCCTATCTGCAGCCTTTGTAATATATACTTGATAACAGAGGCCGAAGCAGGTAAAGCCACCACCCACAGCACCGGCATCCTATATGGGCGCTGGTTCGGGTCTCGGCTGCTCCACTTCTGATCCAGTTTCCTGCTAATGTGCCTGGGAAAGCAGTGGAGGATGGCCCAAGTCCTTAGGCCCCTGCACCTATGCGGGAGACTGGGTGGGATGAAGCTCCTGGTTTCTGCTTGGCTCAGCTCTGGCCGTTGCGGCCATCTGGGGAGTGAACCAGCGGATGGAAGACCTCCCTCTTTCTCTGCCTCTCCCTCTGTGTGTGTGTGTGTGTGTGTGTGTGTAACTCTGCCTTTCAAATAAATTTTTTTAAAAATCTTTTTAAAAAAAAATCCTTGATGACAATGAAGTCAGTGCAAGCCAGGTGTGTTTCACTGAGTCCTGGGAACGGCTCCAGCAAGTGATTAAACCTGAGAAGAGGATTGTGGGAACTCCCAATTTCTCTCCATTTTTTTTTTTTAACAAAAATTATTTGAAAGGCAAAGGGACACAGAGACAGACAGACCGAGCTCCCATCTGCTCGTTCACTCCCCAAATGCCCACGACAACAGCCAGGTCTGGGCCAGGCCAAAGCCAGGAGCTGGGAGCTCCATCCGGGTCTCCCATGTGAGTGGCAGGGACTCCAGCAGTTGCGCCATCATTGCTGCCTCCCAGGGTGCGCATCAGAGGGAGCAGGAGGAGACGCCAGGCACTCTGGCGTGGAATGTGGGCTCTCCCAAGCCAGGGCTTCACTGCTGTGCAGATGTCCAGCCAAGAACCCCCAATTTCTAGCCAACTCTGAATCTCTAGAGATTCAGATTTTCAGTGGGTAGCTGAAGTGTGGGGGCTGCACCCTTCACCTGTGGGGTCTGGCTGCCTCCAGGGAGATAGCTTCAGGATTGAACCGAATTAAAAGACTCCCAGCTGGCCTTGGAGAAATGGGCAGTGTTGTGTGCTGTACAGAAGGTGAGAGCAGGCACTCGGTCTTTCCTGTCTCCTGCCCATGAGCAGGTGCACCTGGGCGCACTCCCATGCCGCCGGCTGCTGCAGCCCCTGAGAAGGAGGCGGCCCTGGTCAGGTTGGGGCTCCTCCCGCACAGCTCAGCACTCGGTTGCGGGGGACGGGGCGGGGTTTGCTGTTCCCCGCAGACATCGACGAGTGTTTGTCCAGCCCGTGTGTGAATGGCGCATGCCTGAACCTGGCCGGCTCCTACACCTGCGAATGCGCCCCCGGAAGCCGACTGGGACCCTCCCGGACCGTGTGCCTAGGTGAGAGAAGTAACGGGGCCCGGGCGTCTGCGGGTGCGGGCGTAGGTGTGAGCCACGCAGGTGAGCCACGGGACTCATCTCCGGCCCCCTCCCCGGCAGACAGCACCAGGGGTACCTGCTGGCTGAAGATCGAGGACGGCCGCTGCGAGGCGAACCTGCAGGGGGCGACTCTGCGGTCCGAGTGTTGCGCCACCCTCGGGGCCGCCTGGGGGAGCCCCTGCGAGCCCTGCGCTATGGGTAACTTGCTTCTCTGGGCCTTCCCGGCCGGGCCACTGTGGAAAGCGGTGCCTGCTAGGGCTGCGTGGCGACAATGACTCTCTGCTCCACACCTCGTTCTCCCAACTACAGACCCTGCCTGTGCCCGTGGCTTTGCCCGCGTGGACGGTCTCACCTGCGAAGGTAACTCCCTACCTGCACAGGGGCAGGTGCACGTCCCAGGTGATGCTGGGGCCCCTCCCCGGAGCCTTTGGCGAAGGAGACAGAAGTCGCCCCTCCCTGCATTCCTGGCCACCCCCCCCCCCCCTTCCTAGGCTGTGGCTGGCCTGTGCCCTCCCAGACCTGGGACACCCCAGCCCCGCTCCCTCCACTTAACCTCACCCTACCCAGATGTGAACGAGTGTGAGTCCTTCCCCGGCGTCTGTGCCAACGGACGCTGCCTCAACACCGTCGGCTCCTTCCGCTGCGAGTGTCCCCAGGGCCTGACGCTGGACGCTGCGGGCCGGCTGTGCGTGGGTGAGTCCGGTCCAAGGCCCCAGATGGACTCTCCTCTTCTTCCTTCTTCCCTCCCCCTCCCCACCTCTGCCCACCTCGGGTCAAAAGCATTAGCTTTTGTGATTCCTCCCCCAAAGCATTAACTGCCCTGTTTCTTTTGAAGAACTTTCTGATTGACACATAACATTTATAGATATTTGGGCGGTACAGTAGGATCATTGGATACACGGGTGCAGTGTGTAGCGATCAATTCAGGGTAATTAGCATTTCTGGCTCCAGCGTTTATCCATCCCATATGTGGAATCTTCTAGTTCTTTTGAAATACAAATTGTAAATTGTGGTCATGTCAATGTGCTGGAAAACATTACTGTTAATCCTTTCTATCTGTTCATATTTTTTCTTATTAAAATTTTTTACTTGGGAGGCAGAGAGAGAGAGCTCCCATGTGTTGGTTCATTGCCCAAACACCTGCAATGGGGCTGGGGCGGGGCCAGGGTCAGGAATACAATCCAGGTCTCCCATGTGGTGGCAGGGGTCCAATTATCTAGCCATCACCTGCTGCCTCCCAGGTCCGCATTTGCGGGAAGCTGGAGTCAGAGCAGGAGCTGGGTGTGGAGCCCAGGCAGTCCCAGGTGGGCTGCAGGGACCTCCACTCTAGATCAAACACCTGCTCCCTGGATGCCCACAATGGCCGGGGCTGGGCCAGGCCAAAACCAGGAGCCAGGAGCTTCCTCCGGGTCTCCCATGTGGGTGGCAGGGGCCCCAGCACTTGTGCCATCTTCCACCACCTTCCCAGGCTCATCAGCAGGGAGCTGGATGGGAAATGGAGTGGCTGGAAGTGGATCTGGCGCCTGTATGGGTTGCCAGCATCCTAGGTGGCGGCTTAACTCTTTGCCCCTCGAGCTGGCCCCTATGTGTGTTTTCCCTGGGAACTCTGTGATGTCCCCTTGTATTATTCTTGGCGTGCTACTCTGGGATGGCATCGGAGCTCAGTAAGGGGAGCTTCGACCTCAGGCAGCGTCCATGCCACGGCGGGGGCGTGGGACACACTGACCTTGGCTGTCTGCAGATGTCAGGCTGGAGTCGTGTTACCTGCGCTGGGACGAGGACGAGTGTGGGGCCCGCGTGCCTGGCAGGTTCCGGATGGACGCGTGCTGCTGCTCCGTGGGTGCTGCCTGGGGTGCCGGCTGCGAGGCCTGCCCGCAACCCGACTCCCCGGAGTTCGCCAGCCTGTGCCCATGGGGGCTGGGCTTTGCCAGCCATGACTACCTGTCCGGGCAGCCTTTCTACAAAGGTGTGGCTGGGGGGCGGGGAGCCTGTAGGACGGCAGGTGGGGGTCGGGGGGACGTGGCCAGTGCTGGTCAAGGCCTGGAGCTGGGACACGTGTTTTGGAGAAGGGACTTGGGGGATTTCCAGCCTGCGTGAAATCTTTTGGTCTGGCCTTGCCAAGGCAATCGCAGGCCGCACTTGAAATACAATGAATCTGTAGCAGGCTAATCTTTTAAAAAGATTTATTTATTTGAAAAGCAGAGTGACACAGAGGGAGAGAGAGAGAGGGAGAGACAGAAGTGAGAGAGACAGATCTGTGCATTGGTTCAATCCACAAATGGCCACAACAGCCAGGGCTGGGCCAGGAACCTGGAACTCCATCCGGGTCTCCCACATGAGTGCAGGGGCCCAAGCACTTGGGCCATCTTGTGCTGCTTTCCCAGGTGCCTAAGCAGGGAGCTGGATTGGATGTGGAGTAGCCAAGACTGGAACCTGCACTGTGACATGGGATGTGGGTGTCTCAAAAGCTGTGGCCCCTACATTTTAGTGAATGATGTTGTAAATACACAAGTGGCCCTCGGCAGAGAAAAGATTCTATGCCCCTAGTTTAGGGCTTCAGGGTGGCTTGGCTGATAACTGATGATGATTTCATTATGCCCCTCTCCCAACCCCTCCAACCCAGATGTGAACGAGTGCAAGGCCTTCCCCAGCCTCTGTGTGCACGGCACCTGCCGCAACACAGCGGGCAGCTTCCGCTGCTCCTGCGCCGGGGGCTTCGCCCTGGATGCCCAGGAGAGGAACTGCACAGGTGGGTGCCCCACCTCCGTCTGCCTGTGTGCTGTGTGACCCAGGAAGGGCCATTGCCCTCTCTGGGCTGTAGTGACCACATCTTTAAAAGGAGGGGCTGGCAACAGTGACCGCTGGCCTATGAAGAAACCTTGTGCACTTGCTCATTTAGGGCATCTCAGTTTTCCCAGTGTGGTTCAGGCTCTTGGGACTCCTGTGTGGTCCCTGCAGGTAGAGGCATGGAGACCCTGTCCCGCACCACCTCTTGCCCACAGCCAGGGGGCTCCCCCTTGGCCTGCATCCCCCTCATTTCTGCTCCAATGTATCCCCCGACCCTGATTTATGCCCCCTGGTGGCACACGCTGGACCCCAGCCCGTGCCTCCTCCCCCACAGACATTGATGAGTGCCGCATCTCTCCTGACCTCTGCGGCCAGGGCACCTGCATCAACACCCTGGGCAGCTTCCAGTGCGAGTGCTTCCGTGGCTACGCCAGCGGCCCTGGGATGATGAAGAGCTGCATGGGTAGGAGGCCTTGGGGTGAGGGTGTGGCCAGTGCACCAGACAGGGTGCGTGTGGCGGGGATGGGCCTGGGGAGGAGCTGAGACACAGCAAGTGGGGGGGGCATATGATGTCACCTAGGGCCAGGGATCTGGGAGTGGCCGGCCACTGAGGGTGTGTGAGGTCTCCCAGGAGCACGTACCTTGAGAAGACAAGGCCCCAGAGAGAAACCTGAGGAAGGGGGCATTTAAGAAGCTTCCCACAGAGCCAGCATTGTGGCGTAGTGGGTAAAGCCCAGTGCTAGCATTCTGTATGGGCACCGGTTCAAGTCCCAGCTGCTCCACTTCCAATCCAGCTCCCTGCTAATGGCCTGGGAAAAGCAACAGATGATGGCCCAAGTGCTTGGGCCCATGCACCCATGTGAGAGATCGGGAATTAACTCCTCACTTCCGCCTGGTCCAGCCCCAGCCATTGTGGCCATCTAAGGAGTGAACCAACTCATGGAAGCGCTTTCTCTCTCCCTCCCTCTCCCTTTCTGTAACTCTGCTTTTCAAATAAATAAATGTTACGAAGAGAGAGAGAGAGCTCATGTCCCATCCTACACTTTTTTTAAAAAAAAAGGGCCGGCGCCGCGGCTCACTAGGCTAATCCTCCGCCTAGCGGCGCCGGCACACCGGGTTCTAGTCCCGGTCAGGGCACCGGATTCTGTCCCAGTTGCCCCTCTTCCAGGCCAGCCCTCTGCTGTGGCCAGGGAGTGCAGTGGAGGATGGCCCAGGTGCTTGGGCCCTGCACCCCATGGGAGACCAGGAAAAGCACCTGGCTCCTGGCTCCTGCCATCGGATCAGCGCGGTGCGCCGGCCGCAGCGCACCGGCCGCGGCGGCCATTGGAGGGTGAACCAACGGCAAAAGGAAGACCTTTCTCTCTGTCTCTCTCTCTCTCTTACTGTCCACTCTGCCTGTCAAAAAAAAAAAAAAAAGTTACTTTATTTGAAAGACAGAGAGAAAGAGAGAGCGAGCTGGTTCACTCCCCAGAAAGCTGAGTCAGACTGAGTCTAGAAGCCTGGAACTTTATCCAGGTCTCCTACGTGGGTGGCAGGGACCCAAGCACTTGGGCCATCTTTTGCTGCTTTCCCAGGTGCATTAGTAGGGAGCTGGATCAGAAGTGGAGCGGCCGGGACTCCAACTGGCACTTACATGACACGCTGGTGGCACAGGTGGCAGCCTGACCCACTGTACTGCAGTGCCCACCCGCCTCGATCCTGCACTAAGATTCATTTGATGACTACTTCGTGGGCCTCTACTGAGCTAGGGGCTGGAGCACGAGGCACTATCTTCTGGAGGCTCACAGACTGTTGGGGAGACTGACCTTGGCAAAATAAGTCTCCGAGGAAGTGCAGAATTGCTGAGGGGACATGTGGCCCGTAGGGCTTCAGAGGCAGCCAAGAGAACAGTGGGAATCCATGGGGGGCAGAGAGGTTGAAAGAGCAGGTGGGAGATGGGAGCAGCATGTGCAAAGGCCCTGGGGTGGGCTGGGCTGATGAAGCTGCATGTGGCTGGATCGAGAAGAGGACGGTGAGGTCGGTGATGAGGCTGCCGGGTGGCACTGAGCCCCGGCCTCCCGGTGTGTCTGACGCTGACTCCTGGCTCGTGGTCCCTGACTACTGAGAATCCCTTTCCCATCTGTGCACGCTCCTCTGGGTCCCCATTGCAGTGCGCTGGGTGGTCTGAGGCCTGAGCCTCCGGGTAGTCCTGGCTTCACCCCCGGTGAGGGGGCCCCCAGCGACAGCAGCGGGGAGCTCCCGCAGGCCACGCCACCCCTCCCCGAGTCAGCGTCCTCATGCCTGCCCTCTGTCTCACCTCGTACAGATGTGGACGAGTGTGCAAGGGACCCTCTGCTCTGCCGGGGAGGCACCTGCACCAACACGGACGGGAGCTACACGTGCCAGTGTCCCCCTGGACATGCGCTGACAGCCGAGGGCACGGCCTGTGAGGGTGAGCGTGCTGTGTGTGTGTGTGTGTGTCTGAGTTGTGTGAGATAGGTGTGTGTGTGTGTGTGTGTGTGTCAGGGGATGTGCCCATGCGTGAAGATGAAAGTGTGTGTCCGTGTGTATCTGTGTGTGGGTGGTTGCATGTGTAAACTGGCAGGAGTGTGTGGGTGTGAAATGACACGTGTGCAGTTGTGCATCAGTGTGTATCTGTGAGACGTGTGACCTGCATGGGAGTGAGGCGGGAGAGTATATTGGGGTGTGTGTGTGTGTGTGTGTGTCCAAGAGTGTGAGTCAGTGTATGAGTGTATCCTTGTGCACGGGTGCATGGGCGTGAGGGTGTGCAGCTGTGTGAGTGTTTGAGCCGGTGGGGGTACTGGGGTGTGAGTGTGCCTTCCTAGTGAAGGTGAGGGGGTGCTTCGGGTGAGCGTGTGGGTGGGTGCTGATGGTGTCTGTGCCAGGGAAATGCACTTGTGTGTGCGTGGGTGCAAGGATGTGTTTGCAGGTGAGTGTGAGTGTGCACGTGGGTCTGAGCGTGAACCTGGGTACCTGTGTTTGCACAAGGGCCAGTGTGTTCCGTGTGAGACAGGGTGTGCCTGGGTCACGCGGATGTCACCACGCCTCCCAGCCATCCCCCCCCGCCCCCCGCAGACGTGGACGAGTGCTCCCTGAGTGACGGCCTGTGTCCCCATGGCCAGTGCATCAATGTCATCGGCACCTACCAGTGCTCCTGCCACGCGGGCTTCCAGGCCACCCCTGGCCGCCAGGGCTGTGTGGGTGAGTCGGCACCCCCCCTCCGCCCAGCCCCAGTCGTGTCAGTGGCCTCTGCTCCCCAGCCCGTGCCTGACCCCCTGCCCGCCCCCTGCAGACGTGGACGAGTGCCTCGTGCGGAACGGAGGCTGCGCTGTGCACTGCGTAAACACCGAGGGCGGCTTTCAGTGCAGCTGTGGGCGGGGCTACGTGCTGACGCCCGATGGGCGGGCCTGTGCAGGTGGGTGCGGGGGCGGGGGAGGGCGCCATCCTTCTGCCTCCTGCAACGCAGAGCAGGCGTCCAATGGGCCCAGCGTGGAACAGGGCGCAGGTGAAGCCGGTCAGACCCCTGCTTGGCCTGAGGCAGGGACCTTGGAGCTCATCACCACCTGCAGCCCGGCTTCTTCTCTGCTCCCCTAGATGTGGACGAGTGTGCAGAGAACCCCAGCGTTTGTGACCTGGGCCAGTGCATCAACGTGCCCGGGGGGCACCGCTGCCTGTGCTCCGACGGCTTCACAACCACGCGGGACAGGAGGGCGTGTGTGGGTGAGCAATGGCGGCTGGGGGCATCCTAGGAGCGGACCGTGAGTGTCTGCAGCCAGGTGGCGCTGGGATTCCCCCGTAGGATCTCGTGCACAGAGCCCGAGCTCCTCAGCTTTGTTTTTCAAACCGTGTGCCGAGCACTCCCTAGGTACCCGGCGCCTGTCACAGGTGGCATCCCCGTTCCAAAGGGCTTCACTTTGAGATCACCACCGGGGCAGGCATTTAGCCTGCTGATTAAAACTGAGTTAAGACACTCACATCCCCCATGGAGTGCATGGGTTCAAGTCCCGACTCTGGCTCCTGACTCCAGCTTCCTGCTAATGTGCACCCGGAGTGGGGGGCAACAGGTATTGGCTCACGACCCAGACTGTGTTCCCAGCTTCTGGCTTCAGCCTGGCCCAGCCCTGGCTGTGAGTGAACCACCAGGTGAAAGATCTCTCCTCTCTGTGTGTTTTTTAAATACATAAATGAAAAAATGACCTTGCAAGCAAATACGTTTAGGGAATGCCCTCTACTCTGCAACCCTGGGACAGGTCTGCATGGCTGTAAATGTCTGATAAGTCTTTCAGGAGGAAAAGCTGGTGGGCTTTTTAAGGACTACTGAATGGATTCAACCATACAATCCTTTGGGAATGTGTGCCTGGGGTATCCCATGGAATGTGTGCTGTGAGGTATTCGGGGCACACCCGCAGCAGCCTAGTGGTGTGGACCCCACCCGAAGGGATCCCAGCACGAGGGGACGACCCCACCCATCAGGGCTCTTGGGAATGCTGGCGGCCTCCCACCCACCTTCACCCAGCCCTCAACCCTGACACCCCTCTCCCTACAGACGTGAACGAGTGTGACCTCAACCCCCACATCTGTCTCCATGGGAGCTGCGAAAACACCCAGGGCTCCTTCGTGTGCCATTGCCAGCTGGGCTACATCGTCCGGAAGGGAGCCGCGGGCTGTTCTGGTGAGCCGGCGGTGCAGGTGCAGGGAGCCCCATCGTGGGGGCTGCCCCCACCCTACCCCCTCCCCTGGGATGGATGGAGCACAGCCAGGATTCATTGTGTCAGACTTCCAACTGCTAAGGCCTTAGCAGGGTGCACGCAGCACCCGGGCTCCCCAAAACTGTCAGGGGGACCCCAGGTGCCCGCAGCAATGGCCCCAAAGCGTGCAGGCCCATTGCTGTCTGTGAGGCAGAGCTGTAGAGTCAGCCTCCTATACTTTCCTAACCACCAGATGTGCACCTGCTGGCTTAGTCCATGAGAAAAGTGTCCTGGGCTGAACAGCTATGCTGGGGGCCTGAAGCGTGAAATCTGGGATCCTGCTGTCATTTCAGATCATTTCTAGGGGCTGCTGGGGCTTGGGGGTTTCCCTCTTAGGTTCTGGGTGAAGATGGAAGCTTCCTGGGTAGGTGGGAGGGGCCTTGGTGGGCCAGCCCTCCCCTAAGGAGGGACCCCGCTCTTCCTACCACTACTGCACTGAATCTCCCCTTCTGGGCCATCCCCTGTCCCCTCAGACGTGGACGAGTGCGAGCTTGGTGGACACAGGTGTGACAGCCACGCCTCCTGCCTCAACGTCCCTGGGACATTCAGCTGCAGGTGCCAGCCAGGCTGGGTGGGGGATGGCTTCGAATGCCACGGTGAGTGTCTGGGGGCAGGGTGTCCCCACAAAGTGTGAGAGGCAGGTGGGTGCCAAGGAGGAGGGGAGGGGAGGGGAGGCTGGGCCCAGCCAGAGGCGGTCTCGGGGAGCACTGAGGGGCAGGACTGCAGGGTGTGACCCCCCTCAGCTCCCTAACGCACACCTCAGGGGGCTCGGGGCTGTGTCTCCTGCAGACCAGGACGAGTGTGTGGTCCAGGAGCACCTGTGCAGTCCACAAGCCGACTGCCTCAACGTCCTGGGCTCCTATCGCTGCACCTGCCGCTGGGGCTTTGTGGGAGACGGCTTTTCCTGTGAAGGTGAGATCTGGGAGGTGGAGGGCAGGGGCCCGGGAGAGAAGGCCACAGAGGCTGAGTGTCGGTGGCCAGTGTGCTTCGGGACTCTCTCTGAGGCACCCGAGGCTCAGCAGGTGCTAGTTGGGGTAGTGTGGTCAGCCCGTGGCTGGGTTCTCGCCGGGGTCTTAAGTGCTTGGGACACCTGCTTCATTCCTGTCCAGCTGGAGTCTGAGGGCCTGGAGCCACCTGTCAGCTCCCTGGCCCCTGGCTTGGTCATGTTCTCGCTTTGGGGAGAGGGGGAAGTTCCTGGAGCCCCTTGCCCAGGACTTTGAGTGACAGCAAAGAACTTGAGTGACTGGGGCCACCTTCCCACTCCCCGTGGGTCCTGGCCCAGCCAACCCCCAGCTGTCTACCTCTTGGGACTCTCAGACAAGGACGAGTGTGCCGAGGACACGGACCTCTGTGAGAACGGGCAATGTCTCAACGTGCCCGGCGGGTACCGCTGCGAATGTGAGATGGGCTTCCAACCCACTGAGGACCACCAGGGCTGCCAGGGTGAGGCGAGGGGGCACGAGCCTGGGGCCCGTGGTGCAGGTGTCCGGTGGGGGCTGGGCTGACCTGGGGTTCCCCCAGATACAGACGAATGTGCCTTGGGCCCGGCATGTGCATTCGGGAGCTGTGAGAACCTGCCCGGGATGTTCCGCTGTCTCTGTGACGTGGGCTATGAGCTGGACCACAGCGGCGGGAACTGCACAGGTGCCACAGCTGGGCTCTGGCTCCAGGGGCTGCACGGCTCAACCCTCCCTGACCTCAGGCTAGAGTTATCTTGGTAACACCCCCTGAATACATGAAGTGAATGAATGAAGTGACCTCCCACAGCTGCCAAAATGGTCCCCACCTGTGTGCTTTAAAAAACAAAACAAGCCGGCGCCGCGGCTCACTAGGCTAATCCTCTGCCTTGCGGCGCCGGCACACCGGGTTCTAGTCCCGGTCGGGGCACCGGATTCTGTCCCGGTTGCCCCTCTTCCAGGCCAGCTCTCTGCTGTGGCCAGGGAGTGCAGTGGAGGATGGCCCAAGTGCTTGGGCCCTGCACCCCATGGGAGACCAGGATAAGTACCTGGCTCCTGCCATCGGATCAGCACGGTGCGCCGGCCGCAGCGCGCCGGCCGTGGCAGCCATTGGAGGGTGAACCAACGGCAAAGGAAGACCTTTCTCTCTGTCTCTCTCTCTCACTGTCACTGTCCACTCGGCCTGTAAAAAAAAAAAAAAAAAAAACAGGCAGAGATCAGTTTTGCCGGCCACTGGGTACCCTGCCTTGGCTCAAGCCACAGGTGATATGTAAATGAGTGGGCGTGGCCACGGACCCATAAGCTTTATTGACACAAAGGAGCAGTGGGCCATTGGTGGGGGGTTGGATGCTGGAGGTTCCTGTTCCTTCCCAGGAAAGGACACAGCCTCAGCTGAAGTCCTGTGTCCACAAGTGCATGCAAGCAAGGGCTGTGGCCTCCCAGGAGGGAGCGGGAGGGCAGGGGACGGAGTGAGAGCTCCTTGTGACGAGGGCACCTGCTGTGCACAGATGTGAACGAGTGTGCAGACCCCGTGAACTGCATCAACGGCCTGTGCGTCAACACCCCCGGTAGCTACTTCTGCATCTGCCCCCAGGATTTTGAGCTGAACCCCAGCGGGGTGGGCTGCGTGGGTGAGTCCCTGGGTGGCTCTGGCTGGGTGCCCCTGGGGTGAACAGAGCTGGGAGGAGCCACTACTCACACCAACCTGGATGTCCACTGCTGACCAATGGGACCCCACTGGTCCCCAACCAGTGTCACCTGTGAGGACACAGCCTTTTGGGAGTGGGTGTTTGGTACAGCAGTTAACATACCTGGGACACCTGCACCCCATAGCAGAGGGCCTGGGGGGTTCAGGTCCCAGCTCCGCTTCCGAGTCCGGCTCCCAGCTAATGCGCACCCTCAGAGACGGCAGTGATGGCTGAAGTAGCTGGGTCCCTGCACCCACATGGGAGACGTGGATTTAATTCTGGACTCTTGGCTTTGACTTGGCCCAGGCCCAGCTGTTGTGGGCATTTGGGGGCTGAAACATCTATGGATGGAAGATCTCTATCTCTGCCTTTCAAATAAACAAAATTAAAAAGATACAGCCTTGGGGCTGGCGCCGTGGCTCACTTGGTTAATCCTCCGCCTGCGGCGCCGGCTTCCCTTATGAGCGCCGGGTTCTAGACCCGGTTGCTCCTCATCCAGTCCAGCTCTCTGCTGTGGCCCGGGAAGGCAGTGGAGGATGGCCCACGTGCTTGGGCCCTGCACCTGCATGGGAAACCAGGTGGAAGTGCCTGGCTCCTGCCTTCGGATCAGCGTGGTGCCAGTCATAGCGGTCATTTGGGGGGTGAACCAACAGAAGGAAGACCTTTCTCTCTGTCTCTCTCTCTCACTATCTAACTCTATCTGTCAAAATTAAAAAAAAAAAAAAAGATACAGCCTTTTGGTTTAGGCAGAGTCTCATACACGCTCCGTTACACACACCTCCTTCTCTGGCCGCTGTGTGATTTCCTTGTTTACCCATTCAAGAGCACCTGTCCACCGCACACACAGTCCCATGCACACATGTTTATCTACACTGAGACACACAGATACACACAGAGGCACACAACTCCACAAAGACACATACACACACATGCCACTTCTCCACTGGTAATTCACTGTTTCTTTTTTTTTTTTTTTTAAGATTTATTTTTTTATTTGAAAGTCGGAGTTATGCAGAGAGAAGGAGAGGCAGAGAGAGAGGTCTTCCATCCGCTGGTTCACCACCCAATTGGCCACTCCCCAGCTGGAGCTGGGGCTGATTTGAAGCCAGGAGCCAGGAGCTTCTTCTGGGTCTCCCACACGGGTGCAGGGCCCAAGCATTTAACCCATCCTCTCGGGCTTTCCCAGGTGCACTAGCAGGGAGCTGGATTGGAAGAGGAGCAGCCAGGACCTGAACCGGTGCTTATATGGGCTGCTGGCCCTGCAGGCGGAGGCTTAACCTGCTATGCCCCACGCTGGCCCCTGACAGCACGCTGTCCATTTCTGCCTCTCCAGATACCCGGGCTGGAAACTGTTTCCTGGAGACACACCCCCGGGGGGACGGCGGCACCTCCTGCAGTGCGGAGATTGGAGTCGGTGTCACCCGAGCCTCCTGCTGTTGCTCCCTGGGCCGGGCTTGGGGCGACCCCTGTGAGCTGTGCCCGGCGGCTAACACCAGTGAGTCCCTGCAGGCCTGAGTCACGGGCGCCCAGGAGCTCAGAGGTCAGAGGGGACAGGGAAACAGAACAGAGAGGGAGAGGGCTCGTCTCATGGCACACAGCACCCTCTTGGCCACTCATAGCTGCAGCCTCCCTGCAAAGTCGCTTTCTACAAATTCTGTTCTGTTTGTAGTAACACAATCACTCAGCCAGTCAACAAACATTCAGAGTTGCTCTGTGCCTTGTGCTAGGGTCTGGGGGCCAGAGAAGGAAGAGCTGCAGCTGTTATATGCTGCCCCTCAGGGTCCCAGGGCTGAGGTAGGGTGGGGCTGGGTCTTAGGCTCAGAGCAGGCTTCCAGGGGAGGAAAGGTGAGCCAGGTTTCCCAGCAGAGCAGGAGGAAAGGTGTGCAATGCTGTGGGAACAGCCTGTGCTAAGACCTCAGGTACCGAATGGGGGTGGCACCCATCCACCCATGTGAGTGTGAGTGGATATCCAGGGTCTTCCTTTCGTGGGCGACACTTAGGGCCCCTTTAGGGTCTGCTTTGGAGTCAGAAGCAGCTGCCCACAACCTCCCTGCTCACAGCAGCTTCCAGCGGATGCGGCTGTTGGCTTGTTGGCTGTGAACTCACGATTACACACACACACACACACACATGACACTGCATCCCTAGGTGGCTCCCTGGGCGGACCACAGCCGCTTGACACCACGGGGCTGATGAGCGATGTGCGTGGCTCAGTAGGAGGATTGTGGGGGCCACTCTGAGCCCTCCCCAGGGCTCTCCCCTGGCTTGTCCCTCTCAGCTGTGCCCCAGAGCTCCGCCCAGGGCCCCTCACAGAGTCCATTTCCCTTGCAGCTGAGTACAGAACCCTGTGCCCCGGTGGCGAGGGCTTCCGGCCCAACCCCATCACTGTCATCCTGGAAGGTGAGTTCCTAGCAGATCCCGGAGTCCCCACCTCACCACGGTGCAGAGCTGGGCAGCTTGGGAGGGGACTGGGGGAGGCGGATCCTGCCTTCTGGAGGTCTGGCCATGGGATAGAACTGTACTTTTACTTTGTGTTGAATGTCAACTCTTTTAGCCATTTCTTCTTCCACTGGTTGGCTTATTAATCCATGCCTGATACACTCACCCATCTACCCATTCCCCACCACTCCATCTCCCACTGAGCCACCCACCCTCCCTTCATTCTTCCGTAATCATCTCCTTCCCATCCCTCCCTCCATCCATCTGTCCATCCATCCGTCCATCTACCCATCTGTCTGTCAACTCATTCATCTTATCTGTGGACCCATTTATCTATTCATCCATCTACTACTTTTCATATCTATCCGTCCATCTCTCTCTGCCTCCCTCCTTCCCTCTCTCTCTGTTTTTCCATTTGCCATCCACCTGCCCATGCTTCCTTCCATCCTTGTCACACTATGCCATCCAGCCAGCCACCCAGCCACCCAGCACCCACCCATCTATCCATCTACTCATCCAACCAACCAACCAACCATTCATTCATCTACCGTCCATCCAGGCCCCCCACCCATCCTTCCATCCACCTACCCACCCACCCATCCATCAGTCTACTCATCCAATCAACCATTCATCCATTCATCCAGCAATTGATTCTTCTGTCCGTCCATCCATCTATCCATCCATCCACCCAGCCACCCAGCACCCACCCATCTATCCATCTGCTCATCCAACCAACCAACCATTCATTCATCTACCATCCATCCAGGCCCCCCACCCATCCTTCCATCCCCCTACCCACCCACCCATCCATCAGTCTACTCATCCAATCAACCATTCATCCATTCATCCAGCAATTGATTCTTCTGTCCGTCCATCCATCTATCCATCCATCCACCCAGCCACCCAGCACCCACCCATCTATCCATCTGCTCATCCAACCAACCAACCATTCATTCATCTACCATCCATCCAGGCCCCCCACCCATCCTTCCATCCCCCTACCCACCCACCCATCCATCAGTCTACTCATCTAATCAACCATTCATCCATTCATCCAGCAATTGATTCTTCTGTCCGTCCATCCATCCATCCCTCCATCCATCCATGGGGAGCAATGAAGTTGGAGATGTTCCACTCAAGGGGAGCCATGATGGGTGGGAGGATGGACTAACAGATGACAGAAAATGAGAGAGAGCCTGAGTCCTGCCTTTCAGACTGACCATCTTGGGGCTCCTTAGAGGAGCCCGAGAGCCCAGAATGGGGTTCAGGTATCCCCCAAGCCCTCTGGGTTCAGCATCCAAGCATAGCTTCCTCACTTCCTGACAGACATCGACTGAGTGCCGGGAGCTCCCGGGCCTGTGCCAGGGAGGGGACTGCGTCAACACCTTCGGCAGCTTCCGGTGCGAGTGCCCCCCGGGCTACCGTCTCAGTGAGGACGCACGCACCTGTGCAGGTGAGCACGGCCCCTCCCAGAGCTGGGGCCAGTCTCCCCTGCTCCTTTGCTGCCTTCCTGCCTGACCAAGCTTCGTGAGAGTTGGGGCGGGGGGCTGGTTGGCGGGCCCTGGCCTGCCTTCAGGTCTGTTGCTTTCTCCTCCTCATTGCCAGACTCCTGCCCTCCACCCCTCACCCTCTACCTTCACCCTCTACCCTCCACCCTCACCCTCCACCCTCACCCTCCACGCTCTACCCTCCGCCCCTCACCCTCCACCCTCTCAAAAGAGACCAGACTTGGTGCAGCCGTTGCTGCCTCCCTGTAGCGAGGCTCAGACAGCCCCTTTTACATTGTTCTTCATCTCACCGTGTGGGGTAGAGTTACTGTCCAGTGTCTTTTCATTCCATCTGGGGGACTCCCTTTAGTATTTTTTGCAGGGCAGGTCTTATGAGAGGTAAACTCCTGCTGTTTTTGTTTATCTGAGACTATCTTAAATTCCCCTTCATTTCCTTTTTTTAAAAAGTTTAATTTACTTGAAAGGCAGAATAACAGAAAGACAAAGGGAGAGACAGAGAGAGAGGAGAGATTCCATCTGCTGGTTCACTCCCCAAATGTCTGTAACAGCCAGGGCTGGGTCAGACTGAAGCCAGGAGCTCAGAGCTTCTTCTGGGTCTCCCACATGGGTGCAGGGACCCAAGGACGTGGGCCATCTGCTGCTGCTTTCCCTGGCGCATTAGCAGGGAGCTGGATCAGAAGTGGAACAACTGGGTCTTGAACCAGTTCTCAGGGAATGCTGACATCGCATGTGGTGGCTTAACTGTATGCACCACAACACTGGCCTCTCTGGCCCCTGTATGTACACAGATCACCAGCTAAGAATATTTTCACATTTTCTAAGTGGTTGGAAAAATAAAAAGTATTTTGTGACATATGACAATGATATGAAATCCAAATTTCCATGTCCATTCATAAAATTGTCCTGGGGCACCATAGTTGGTTCATGTGTTTTCCATGGCTGGTTTCAGACTACAGTGAACATTGAATAATTATGCTAAACACTGCAATTTGGCAAAAAAAAAAAAAAAAAACTGAACTAGGTCTTCACAAAGAAAGCTCACCACCTGGGCTAGGTGATTGATTGCATTGGGAATCAACCATTTCCCCTACCTAGAATATCTTAGCCATGGGGCTCTTTCTGTCATGTTGTGTTAGGAAGGCATGCTTGTCTCGTTAACAGCTTCCTGTGACTGCACACACATAGCATTTATAGCAAAAGTAGCCCCATTGGTCTCCACCTCTGACTGCCAAAATCACATGTAGAAGTTGAACTAGGCTGGCGTCGCGGCTCACTAGGCTAATCCTCCGCCTTGCAGCGCTGGCACACCGGGTTCTAGTCCCGGTCGGGGTGCCGGATTCTGTCCCGGTTGCCCCTCTTCCAGGCCAGCTCTCTGCTGTGGCCAGGGAGTGCAGTGGAAGATGGCCCAAGTACTTGGGCCCTGCACCCCATGGGAGACCAGGAGAAGCACCTGGCTCCTGCCTTCGGATCAGCGCGCTGCACCGGCCGCAGCATGCCGGACGTGGCGGCCATTGGAGGGTGAACCAACGGCAAAGGAAGACCTTTCTCTCTGTCTTTCTCTCTCACTGTCCACTGTGCTTGTCAAAAAAAAAAAAAAAAAAAAAAAAAAAAAAAGAAGAAGTTGTTGAACTAAAAAAAACTACAGGGTGCAGTAGGTTTAAGCTCCAGCCTACAGTGCTGGCATCCCATATGGGCACCAGTTTGAGTCCTGGTTGCTCCACTTCCAAGCCAGCTCTCTGCTAGGGCCTGGGAAAACAGTAGAAGATGGCCCAAAGCCTTGGGCCCCTGCACCCATATGGGAGACCTGGAAGAAGCCACTGGCTCCTGGCTTCCGATAAGCACAGCTCCGGTTGTTGTAGCCATTTGGGAGTCAACCAGTGGATGGAAGACCTTTCTCTCTCTCTCTGGCTCTACCTCTCTCTCTAACTCTGTCTTCCAAATAAATAGAATAAATCATATATATATATATATCATATATCATTCATATATATGTATATATGTGTATATATATATATAAATAAAACTACAGTTAGGGACCTGTGTGGTGGTGCGCAGAGTGTTAAGCTATCTCCTGCAATGCCAGCCTCCCATATAGATTCCAGTTCAAGTCCCGGCTGCTCCACTTTGATCCAGCTCCCTGCTAACGTGCCTAAGAAGGTGGCGGAGGGTGGCTCAAGTGCTTGGGTCCATGCACCCACGTAGGAGACCTGGATGGAGCTCCAGGCTCCTGGCTTCTGCCTGGCCCAGCTCCAACCATTGCAGCTATTTGGGGAGTGAACCAGAAGATGAAAGATATCCCCCCTCTCCCCCTTTGTCTCTCTGTGTTCCCACCTCCCTCATCACTTTGCATTTCAAATAAATAAACCTTTTTTTTATTAAAAAAAAAAAAAAACTACAGTTGAATAAAAGTGAGGGACAGGTGTGTGGTGCAGAGCTAAGTTGCCACTTGGGACGCCCACATCCCACATCAGAGTGCCTGGGTTTGAGCCCTGGTTCCAGTCCAGCTCCCTGCTGATATGTACCCTACGAGGCAGCAGGGATAGACCAGTGCTTGGGCCCCTGCACCCACGTGGGAGACCCGGATGGAGCTCCTCTCTCCTAGTTTCAGCCTGGCGCAGCTGTGGCTGTTGTGGGCATTTGGGGAGTAAACCAGGAGATGGAAGACCTCTCTCTCTCTCTCTCTCTCTCTTTCTCTCTCTGTGCTTTTCAGAAAAATAAATGAAAACATGTTTAAAACAGGTACAAAACAGACTTTGGTGATAAAAAGTTGGGTCGTGAGCTCAGGCCATTGTGTTTCCCATTTACCACCCCCACCTCGTGTGGTCTTTCTGCACTCCTGAGTGATCTGTGCACACGAAGCTGATCTTGAGGCAGTGAGGTGGCTCCACTGGGCCTGCGTGGAACGATGACCAGGCCACGCCTGAACCCTGCCTGCCTGTGCCCCCGCAGACCTCGACGAATGCTCTGCACACACGGGCGTCTGCGGCCCTGGCACTTGCTACAACACCCTGGGGAGCTACACCTGTGTCTGCCCTGGGGACTACCTGCAAATCGACGGTGGCAGCAACTGCACGGGTAGGGAGTGTGACGACCTGGGGGACCGGCCGGTTCACAAGCAGTGCATGGGTGTGGAAGGGTCGGCTGGGAGCCTCCAAGCTTTGGAAGAGGGTGGAGGGGTGCATTTGGGGGAGCAGTTTAAAGTGCTGATATGGGGCAGCTGCAGGATTTAGGAACCCAAGGTTGCCACGTATAGTTGCCCAGGCTGTGCACTGCCTGATAAAGACTGAAAAATAAACGGTGCCCCCCAATGTGTTAGAGGAGACTCGTCAAGCCGGTAATTCTCAAGCGGGTTAATCAACAAGTTCTCACCCGTTTGGCCCTCTCTTCTGATGCTCATCCCCAACCCCGACCGCAGACATGAGAAAGGACGTGTGCTTCCGGAGCCGTGATGGCACGTGTCGGAACGAGCTGGCCTTCAACGTGACTCGGAAGATGTGCTGCTGCTCCTACAATGTGGGCCATGCCTGGAACAGACCCTGCGAGGCCTGCCCCACCCCCGCCAGCTGTGAGTGCCCCTCCCCCACCTCCGGCCCTACTCCCCCCCCCCCCCCCCCAGCCCCTGCCTGGCTTGGGAGCCACAGAGCTCTGAGGGAGCTGGAGAGTGTCCTTGGTCAGGAAGGGCCTTGAAGACACGAGCACTTGTTGGGGGCGGGGGTGGTGAGTGCCAGCACCAGGTCAGACCTGGGGACAGGGACACATTCCCCCCCACCCCCAGGCTGGGGAAGGGGAGACCCTGATGGCCATGGCCAGGGTGAGGGAGGGACCTGGGCGGGAGGAGGCCAGGTGACAGCAGGGACCTGACCTGTGTCGTCTTCGCACAGCGGATTACCAGCTCCTGTGTGGGCACCCGGTCCCAGGCTTTGTCGCGGATGTCCACACGGGGAGGCCCCTCGGTGAGTGACCTGCCTGGCTCACCCCTCTCCCACGGCCCTTCCTTTCCAAGTCCCCCCGCCCCGCTTCCTCCCCTCAGCCCCCTCCCCCGAGCACCAGCCATGGGGCTTTCAACTCCCCAGGAATCCTGTCTCCAAAAGGCATGTTTTTATGACATCATTATTAGTTTGTTTAAGATCACGGTCGAATCTGCCATCCTCACTGTTGCTAAATGCACAGCTCCGTGGCGTTAAGCACACGCACATGATTTTGTAACCGTCGCCACCATCCGTCTCCAAAACTTTCTCTGCTTCCCAAACTAGCACTCTGTCCCAGTGCTGGGGACTCTGGGGCGGTGCGGGGTGGGGGCGGGGGGGAAGGTAGCTTTTGGCTTGGGATGTCCCTACCCAGCCTGAGTTGGAACCCTGGCTCTGGATCCAGCCCTGACCCCAGCTTCCTGCCAGAGTGTATCCTTGGAGCCAGGAGATGATGGCCCCTGGTACCCACGTGGGAGACCCGGATGGAGTTTCTGGCTCCTGGCTTCAGCCTGGCCCAGTCCCAGCTGTTGTGGGCTTATTTATTTGAAAGGCAGAGTTACAGAGAGGGAGGGAGAGACATAGAAGGAGAGTTTCCCATCAGCTGATTCATTCCCCAAATGGCCACAATGACCCGGGCTGGGTCTGGCTGAAGCCAGGAGCTTCTTCCAGGTCTCTCATGCGGGTGCAGGGGTCCAATTACTTGGGCCATCTTCTGCTTTCCCAGGCCTTATTAGAGGGAGCTGGATTGGAAGTAGAGCAGCTGGGACTCAAACCCACACTCACACGGGATGCCAGCATCATACGGGGCAACTTAACCGGCTGTGCCGTGGCTCCAAGCCTAGATGCTGCCTCTTTCTAGTAGATTCCAAGCAGCAGGTTTGCTGAGCCACAGAAAGGTGTGGCTTTAATGGAGAGAGAAGCCCTCTCCTGCTCTGGTCTTTACACAGCCTGGTCTCTGGACCACAGCAGGACTTGATTGATGGATATTTAAAAGAGAGAGAGAGAAGCCGGCGCTGTGGCTCACTAGGCTAATCCTCCACCTTGCGGCGCCGGCACACCAGGTTCTAGTCCTGGTCGGGGCACTGGATTCTTTCCCGGTTGCCCCTCTTCCAGGCCAGCTCTCTGCTGTGGCCCGGGAGTGCAGTGGAGGATGGCCCAGGTGCTTGGGCCCTGCACCCCATGGGAGACCAGGAGAAGCACCTGGCTCCTGGCTTCGGATCAGTGTGGTGCGCCGGCCGCAGCGCGCTGGCCGCGGCAGCCATTGGAGGGTGAATCAACGGCAAAAGGGAGACCTTTCTGTCTGTCTCTCTCACTGTCCACTCTGCCTGTCAAAAAAAAAAAAAAAAAAAAAAAAAAAAAAGAGAGAGAGAAAGAGAGAGAGAGAGATTTCCCATGTGCTAGGGCTGGGACACGGTCAAAGCCAGGAGCTAGGAGCTCCATCCGGGCCTCCCATGTGGGGAACAGAAACCCAATTGCTGAAGCCATTACCTGCTGCCTCCAGGGTTCACATTAGCAGGAAGCCGGGTTGGAAGCGGAGCCAGGACTCAAACCCAGGCATCCCAAGCAGTGTCTTCAATGCCGTGAAAATGCCGGCCCCTGTGACAACTTTCTAAGCACGTGCTGGTTTGTGGCCATGACGTCCAGCACAGCGCAGGACCAGTGGGTCCTTTAGCTTAGGATCTGCGGCGGCTCCCAGGGGCTGGGCTACCCCTGACGGCTCTCGCCCTCTCCAGACGTCGACGAGTGTGGGGAGATCCCGGCCATCTGTGCCCACGGCGTCTGCATCAACCAGATCGGAAGCTTCCGCTGCGAGTGCCCCGTGGGTTTCAACTACAACAGCGTCCTACTGGCCTGTGAAGGTGCCCCCGGCCCCTGGGGTCTGGGCGGGATGCTGGTCCCCCACTGTGTGATTTTCAAGAATCATTGCAATGCTGTGAACCTCAGTCTTCCTGTCTGGGTAATGGGGCTCCGTGCCCTAGAACCACCCTTCCTCTAGTTCTAGCTGTTTCCAAAGGGACACCCCCTGTTCCAAAGCCAGGGGCCGGGGCTAGGGGTTGATTCTTTCTGGGTGGGCTTATCCATCACACCTACCCCATTTGCTGGATCCTCCAGATGTGGACGAGTGTGCTGGTGGGGACAGCCCGTGCCGGCGGAATGCCAACTGCTTCAACAGCCCCGGCAGCTACCGCTGCGAGTGTGCCCCAGGGTACAGGCTGTCTCCAGGCGGGGCCTGCGAGGGTGAGCAGGGACCCCCGGGAGGCGGCAGACCAGGCCCTGGCAGGGCGAGCAGGGGTGGAGGGGGTGAGGGAGCCAGGCTACCCCCGGCGACCTGAGCAGGGCGTGGCCCCCCTCTAGCTGTTCTGCTTGTCTGTACTATTATGGGATGGAGTATCCTGGGGCTTCCATGACGCTGACAGCCTGGGCTTAAATGGACGGGAGGGGGGCCCCTCAAGGCAAGCTCAGGTTCCCCCCGCTGCAGCAAACAAGAGCTCAGGGCAGCATTGTGGGGTGAGGGGCCTAGGGACACCAGGCTACCTGCACTCCCAGGACGGAACGAGTGTCGGGAGATCCCAAACGTATGCAGCCACGGCGACTGCATGGACACCGAGGGAAGCTATGTGTGCCGGTGTCACCGCGGCTTCCACACCTCGGCCGATCGGACCCTGTGCCTGGGTGAGCATCCCCCTCTTGTCCCCTCCCGTCAGGCCAGGCTGTCTGGGGTTGGCTCCTCCCCTGAGATGGGAGATGCTGCTTTGTGCGCATTCTAGTTTATAGGCAGACCCAGATTTGAGTGCTGGTACTAAGAACTTGGGTAAATGACTTGCTGGCTTCCTTGTGCCTCAGTCTTCTAATCTGTAAAATGGGAACAAAATATAGCCCTGGAGGGACTTCCCAGCGATCACCACTAGCGGTCACTACAGAGCCATCTGTGCAGACCAGGCGGGTAGGGTCTAGCCAAGCGCTAGCTCCAGGAGCCACCCCATGGCCTGAGCAAGTTGAGTGGGTTTGTGGGCTTTGCTCCATCAGATGTCGATGAGTGTGATCAACAGCCGTGTGCAAACGGGACCTGCAGGAACACTGTCGGCTCCTACAACTGCTTCTGCTTTCCTGGCTTTGTGAAGACGGCCAGTGGGGATTGTGTGGGTGAGCTGGCGGCAGGGGGTGGGGGGGATGAGTTTGGCCTCAGTGTCCCCTCCCTAGAAAGAAAGTGGGTCTCACAGGAAAGGGTGTTGACCCTTAGGAAAAACAAACTCAGGGCCAGCGCCGCGGCTCACTAGGCTAATCCTCCGCCTTGCGGCGCCGGCACACCGGGTTCTAGTCCTGGTCGGGGCGCCGGATTCTGTCCCGGTTGCCCCTCTTCCAGGCCAGCTCTCTGCTGTGGCCAGGGAGTGCAGTGGAGGATGGCCCAAGTGCTTGGGCCCTGCACCCCATGGGAGACCAGGAGAAGCACCTGGCTCCTGGCTTTGGATCAGCGTGGTGCGCCGGCCGCAGTGCACCGGCCGCGGCGGCCATTGGAGGGTGAACCAACGGCAAAGGAAGACCTTTCTCTCTGTCTTTCTCTCTCACTGTCCACTCTGCCTGTAAAAAAAGAAAAGAAAAGAAAAGAAAAGAAAAGAAAAGAAAAGAAAAGAAAAGAAAAGAAAAGAAAAGAAAAGAAAAGAAAAGAAAAGAAAGAAAAAAGAAAAACAACCTCAGAGGATGGAGTTCCCTCTGAGAATGAGTCAGCCAGAGTCCTGCATGTACTTGCAATTGCTAAATGCTAACTGGGGGTTGATTCTGGCAGGGTGGGTTTCTCCGTCGCCCCCACCCCATTCTCTGGATTCCCGAGATGTGGACCAATGTGCCGGGGGACAGCCCCATCAGTAGAACCCTGACCGTGTCCCCAACTGTTGCAAGTGCACTGGGGGCTCACCCTGAGGTTGAGGGGAAGCAGAGGAGGATGCTACTTAGTGCTATGAATTTGCCTCTAAGTGATGTCTTAGCTGCATCCACACATTTTTGATATGTTGTGTTTTCCTTTTTGTTTAGTTCAAAATATTTTCTAACTCCTCTTATGATTTCTTATTTGGTGAAATCAGAAGAGGGCGAGGGGAAGAGTGAAAGCAAAACCTGGGCAGAATGGCTTCCCAGTTTAGTGTGCTCAGTAGAAGCATGGACCCACGGTCAAGTGGCATGAGTTCAAACCCCACCTTTGACACCTACCAACTATGAGATCCTAGATAAGTAATTTACTTCTCTGTGCTCCGTTTTCTCGTCTGTAAAGCAGGATTAATAGTAAGACCCACCAAACCAAATATCAGACCTTATAAATAGAGATAAAGACAGGTATATATTGATCAATTCTCCAAGGGGACATAATCAAAAATACATATGTATCCAAAAACAGAGCTTCGAAAATCCATGAAGTAAAAATTGACAGCACTAAAAAAAGAGGTAGAGAAATCCACAGTGGGCCAGCGCCATGGCTCACTTGGTTAATCCTCCGCCTGCAGCGCCGGCATCCCACATGGGCGCCGGGTTCTAGTCCCGGTTGCTCTTCTTCCAGTCCAGCTCTCTGCTGTGGCCCAGAAAGGCAGTGGAGGATGGCCCAGGTACTTGGGCCCCTGCACCTGCATAGGAGACCAGGAAGAAGCACCTGTCTCCTGGCTTCAGATCCGTGCAGTGCACCGGCCATAGTGGCCATTTGGGGGGTGAACCAACAGAAGGAAGACCTTTCTCTGTCTCTTTCTCTCACTGTCTAACTCTGCCTGTCAAATTAAGAAAAGAGAGAGAGAGAGAGAGACCCACAGTTATCATTGGCAACTTGAATATACCTCCCTCAGTAATAGAGCAACAGAAAATCATTAAGGACACAGTCACTTGAAGAAGAATGATACTTATAGAACCTTCTAGAATACACATTCTTTTCAAGTGCATGTGGATATTTACCATGGAAGATCAATTTCTGGGCCAAAAAACAAACTGTAACAAATTTCAAAAGAATTGGAGTCACATCAAGTAAATCCTCAGAATGTCAAGTGAAGGGACCAGCACTGTGATGTAGCAGGTACAGCCATTGCCTGCAGTGCCAGCCTCCCATATGGGTGCTAGTTCAAGTCCTGGCTACTCCACTTCTGATCCAGCTCTCTGCTGTGGCCTGGAAAAGCAGTAGAAGATGGCCCTAGTCCTTGGGCCCCTGCACCCGTGTGGGAGACCCAGAGGAAGCTCCTGGCTCCTGGCTTCAGATTGGCACAGCTCCAGCCATTGTGACCAACTAGGGAGTGAACCAGAGGATGGAAGACCTCTCTTTGCCTCTGCCTCTCTGTAACTCTACCTTTCAAATAAATAAATCTTTAAAAAAAAAAGTCTCCAGCTATTTGGAAACTAAACAACATACTCTTAGATCAAAGAAGAAATTATAAGAAAAATGGAAAATATTTTTAATTAAATGGAAACACAACATATAAATATCGGGGGGGGGGGGCAGTGCTTTGGTATAGTGGGTAAAAGCCACCACCTGCTTCCCATATGGGTGCCGATTTGAGTCCCGGCTGCTCCACTTCCAATCTACCTCTCTGCTATGGCCTGAGAAAGCAGTAGAAGATGGCACAAGTGCTTGGACCACTGCACCTGTGTAGGAGACCTGGATGGACCTCCTGGCTCCTGGCTTCAGATTGGCCCAGCTATGGCCATTGCAGTCATTTGGGGAGTGAGCCAACAGATGGAAGACCTTTCTCTCTGTCTCTGTCTCTGTCTCTGCCTCTGCCTCTCTGTAACTCTGCCTTTGAAAGTAAATAAAGAGCGCTTAGAGGCAAATTCACAGCACTAAGTGGCTACGCTGGAAGATGTTGCAGGGTTGTGGCAAGGCTAATGCAGAGTCTGATACGTGACTGCTCAATTAACTGAAGGCAGTGCTGTCAGCTCGGCTGTGGAAAGAAGCACAAGAGAGGCCCAGGGGGTGACCACACCTGCCCGTTCTCTCTGCAGATGTTGACGAGTGCGCCACCCTGGTGGGGCAGGTGTGCAGATCTGGCGAGTGCCTCAACACACCTGGCTCCTTCCTCTGCCTGTGTCGGGATGGCTTCTGGCTCACCGCGGATGGGAAGAACTGTGTGGGTGAGTGTCCTCCTGGGGCTGGGTGGCACCCCCGCCACCACCAACTCCACGTGGACCTGCACTCAGTGTTGCTGTGGATTTGTTCCTGAGAGGAGGAGCGTGGTGGGGGCAAGAGGTGCGGAATCACCACACAGACCCCCCAGGAGTCGGCTGAAAGCAGGCCAGAGGCGAGCAGCCCACAGACTCGTTTATTTCAGTTGGTACAGCAGTTTATATAGCCAAGACAGCCAATCCAGTCAAGGGGTGGTCTGTGCCCTAACCAATCACAGCCTGTTGCCAGGCAGTTTCCAAAGCCATCCAATCACAGCCTGTTGCCAGGCAGTTTCTGTTGCTAGCGGCCATCTTGGCATGGCCTTCTCATTCCACCACAGGCGTGGGCCTACACTCGGTGCTTCCGAGTGAACGTGGCTCCGTTTCCAACCCATGTATTTATTTGAAGGTATAAAAGGACCACGTGAAGTGAGCACAACATGTCTGAATTTTCATGGGCTCTGTGGTTCAGGATGAGGCTGACTTGGAAATCTAAGTTTTCTCAAGTCAGGGATATTAGAGAGCAGAGGGCTGCCGTGGATATCAAGCGACTGGAGTTTAGGAAGTCGCTGCAAACACTCTCTGCTCCCACCCAAAACCCTGCCAGGCCCAGTGAATTCTTTCCCATCCATTCCTGTTAAGTGAGCCAGCCCTGGCACCCTTGGCTCTGACACAGTGACTGCACGGGTTGCTCCCAGCCACAGGGGAGCCCCCGTGCCTCCTGGCTGGTGCAGGGGCCCCTCTCCCTCCTGCTCTCTGCAGACACCGATGAGTGTCTCAGCTTCGCGGGAACCTGCCTCCCAGGCACGTGCCAGAACCTTGAGGGCTCCTTCCGCTGCATCTGCCCCCCTGGCTTCCAGGTGCAGAGTGACCGCTGCGTCGGTGAGTGTCTGGCCCCTCCTCCCATCTCTGGAGCCAGAGAGGGGCCTGTGGCTTCCCTACAGGTAGAATGGGAATACCAGCTCAAATCATGGCCAGGTGGGAGATGCACATAGCCTAGATCCTTGCATTGTTGTTACTGTTGTTTCTGAGCTCAGAGTGCTCTCTCTGGGGCCCACGTGTTTCCTCTTGAGTCCTCTAAAATGAGCACGGATGTGGGGGTCTCCCAATCATAGAACTCTTCACTCAGGAAATGGTGGGCAAGGAGCAGTCTAGCCTGGCATCCACGTGGAATAGCCTTGTACAGTGTGGTCTAACCTGGCCCATTCTGGCCTGAGTAGATGGAGCTAGCTTCATACAGTAGGGCCTAACCTGGGTCAGTCTAGCCTGACCACTTCTGGGTCAGTCTTTCATTTGGGCTAGCCTTGCGTAATGAGGGCTAGCCTGGCCTAACAGATGGGCTAGCTTCATACAGGTGGAGCTAACCTGGACCAGTCTAGCGTGACCTCCTCTGGTCTCTTCTATCTGGGCCAATCTGGTATAGGGTGAACTAACTCCATGCAGTGTAGGCCAGATACATCAGTCTTGGCTTTGTAAAGAGAATCTTTTCCTGATCTTGACCCTTGCATTGGCGATGCCTCCTGGGAAAGACCTTCCATGTACACACGTCCCTCCTGGCACTGTGGCTTCAGCTCCTGGCCCCCCTCATGCCCGAGGCCTTCCCCCAGCCCACTCCAGGGGAGACCCGACTTCCGTCCCACCCATCCTGTATGTGTCCCTTCCTCTCCAGACATTGACGAGTGCTCGGAGGAGCCCAGTCTCTGCCTCTTCGGCACCTGTACCAACAGCCCTGGAAGCTTCCGGTGCCTCTGCCCACCTGGCTTTGTCCTCTCGGACAATGGCTATCGCTGCTTTGGTGCGTCTGGGGCCCAAGGGGACACGCAGGGTTTGGGGAAGAGGGTGGGAAGCAGGGTAAGGAAGGGTCAGATCACCCAGAAGAGGGAGCTGTGGTTTCTTGTCGGACACTCCAGGAGCTGTAACCAGGCGGAGGTGAGACAGGTCACTTCTGCAGAGGGCTAACCTGGTCCCTCTCGGGCCAGCTCGGGTCCTCTTGTTGACCTGTATTAGCCATGGCTGCCCTTCCTGGGCTGGTTTTGTCCAGTCTGAGCTAGCCTAGGCCACTCTGGACTGGCTGCAGCTCAGCTGAGCTAGCCTTCACCAATGTGGGCTAGCCTCACCAGCTGGAGCCACAGGGGTGAGAACAGAGTTTGCAGTTCAGCTCATGTAGTTTTGGTTTTTCTTGGGGCCAAGAACCCAGGGGTAGGTCACGCCAGCCTGCCCACGAGGATTTGTCCAGGATCCTCTGACTTTGCCTCTCCAGGAAAGGGAGAGTGGCCTAGACTGACTTTTCTCCCTGGCCCAAAAGGGGACCAATGGCAGTAGGTGGAAGGGATTGAGCCAAAGTCCCAGAGCTGATCTTTATTGGTCCAATGTGAGTCACATGTCTGTCTCTGAGCCAATCACCACACACACCAGGGGTGTGGCATGTTCTGGTTGGCCACTGTTAGGGTCAGCCCCACCTACTCACCACGACTTGGGTTGGGGAGGGGTCCGTGGCAGGTGGGTCCTGCTGCCTGCCCTTCACCTTGACAAAGCCCCCCCACCCCACAGACACACGGCGGAGTTTCTGCTTCACTCGTTTCGAAGCTGGAAAGTGCTCGATGCCTAAACCTTTCAACACCACCAAGACCCCGTGTTGCTGCAGCAAAGTGCCTGGGGAGGGCTGGGGAGACCCCTGTGAGCTGTGCCCTCAGGAGGGCAGCGGTGAGCTCCAGCCCAGGCCCTGCTGCACTCCAGGAGCTGCCGTCTCCCTCCTCTCCCACCCTTCCCTGACCATGCCCCCAACGCCCCCTGGGATCCTGGGCACTGCACTTGACCCTGACTCTGACCCCTTCCCCTCCGCCACGTCCAGTTGGCTTTCAGGAGCTGTGTCCTTTTGGCCACGGGGCAGTCCCAGGCCTGGATGACTCTCGAGAAGGTAAGCCCCTCGCCCAGTGCTGAGAGCCCGTGTTGCATGGGTCTCAGGCTGTCCCTCTGAGACCCCGGGGTGGCCCTGGGACCTGTGCAGTGATGGGAATGGTGCCTGCAATCCTTGCTACCCTAGATGTGGACGAGTGTGCAGAGAACCCTGGCATCTGCACCAATGGTGCGTGTGTCAACACAGACGGCTCCTTTCGCTGCGAGTGTGCCCTCGGGTACAGCCTGGACCCCGCCGGGATCAGCTGTGGGGGTGAGTAGCCGCTCACTCCCTCACTCCCTCATTCACTCATCCACCCACTTGGTCACACATTCACTTGCTCATTTGTTCTCTCATCCAGTTGCTCCAATCATTCATTCATTCATACACAGTTATTTATTCCCTCATTTGCATATTTTTTCACTCTCACCCATTCTCTCATTGATTTATTTGCTGCTTTTTTCACTCATTCATTGAACACGTACACCTAATGCCTTCCCTGCAGTGAGCCTAGAGGCACTGATTGATTTATTTATTTATTTAAAGGCAGAGTTACAGAGAGAGGGAGAGAGAGAGAGATCTTCCAGGCACAGATTCACTCCCCAAATGACGGCAATGGCCAAATCTGGGCTAGTCTAAAACCAGGAGCTTCTTCCGGGTCTCCCACATGGGTGCAGGGGCCCAAACACTTGGGCCATCTTCTGCTGCTTTCCCAGGCACATTAGCATGGAGTCAGATCAGAAGTGGAGCAACCGGGACTTGAACTGGCGTCTATATGGGATGCCGGCCTCGCAGTTTAGCTGCTAGGCCACAGCACCGGCCCCGGCCTAGCCTGTCTGAAGGTGCTCAGCAGGGGTGCAGATGGGACAGTGGTGGGGCTGTCTGAGGTTCTCTCCACCCCTCACCTCCTCTCAGACATAGACGAGTGTTCCACCGGGCACCCCTGTGGGGCGGGCACGTGCACCAATGTCGTCGGAGGTTTCCTGTGTGCCTGCGCTGATGGCTTTGAGCCTGGCCCGATGATGACTTGCGAGGGTAGGACTGTCTGCCTGGGACCTGGGCTGCATGACACGGTCACCTGGGGACAGGCCCCTGGGGAGTGGGGCGGGGCCGGGGGGGATCCTCCAGGCTGACCTCGCCTAGCGGCACCTCCGCCGACCTCCACAGACATCGATGAGTGTGCCCTGAACCCGCTGCTCTGCGCCTTCCGCTGCCACAACACCGAGGGCTCCTACCTGTGCACCTGCCCGGCTGGCTACGCCCTGCGCGAGGACGGGGCCATGTGCCGAGGTAGGCTGCGTGTCAGTCACGTGCTGGGTCCTGGAACCCGGGGAACGTCTCGGCTCCTCTACTTACTGTCTGTAAAATGCGGGAATCAGAGCCTGAGCCGCCAGGGGCGGGAGTGGGTGGGGAGGGAGGTAGAGGGGGCAGACAGCGGAGCCGAAAGTGCATACAGCAGGCGCTCTGCAGGAGGAGCTGCCTGAGTCTTGTTCTCTGAACATGATTTACAAAGAACGGGCATGCATTTGGCTGGGACATCCGAGTGCATGGAGCTGGCGTCTGGTGAGGGCCTAGTGGTGTCGCCTGGGCATCACATGAGGTGACAGAGTGCAGTGCCAGCTCAGGTCACTCTACCTGCTCTGACAAAGCCGCTGACCCTTTGTAGGGGCCCCAGCCTGTGACCTCATCTCACCCCAGTCACCTCCCAGAGGCCTCCAAATGCCATCAACATAAAAGGGTGCTTCAAAATGGAATTTGGGGGCTCGGTATGGTGGCGAAGTGAGCTAAGCTGCCACCTGCAACACAGGCATCCCGTATCAGAGCGCCGGTCCCTGTCCTGGCTGCTCCGCTTGTGATCCAGCTCCCTGTCATGCACACCCTGGGAGGCAGCACTGATGGTGCAAGTATTTGGGTCCCTGCCACCCATGTGGGAGACCTGGATGGAGTTCCTGGCTCCTAGCTTCAGCCTGATCCAGCCTTTGTGGCCATTTGGGGATTGATCCAACAGATAGAAGATTCTCTCTCTCTCTCTGTCTGCCTCTATTATTCTGCCTTTCAAATAAATAAATAAGTTTTTAGAAAAGAAAATGCAAAAACTAAAAAGGGGGAATATGAAATTTTAAAGTGAGTTTATTCTGTTGGAAAAAAAATTTTGAGAGCCCCATGTAGTTTGTTACAGTATACATTTTACACGACTTTTTAAAAATTATTTAAAGATTTATTTATTTATTTGAAAGTTGGAGTTACACAGAGAGAGGCAGAGGCAGAGAGAGAGAGAGAGGTCTTCCATCCACTGGTTCACTCCCCAGATGGCTGCGACGGCTGGAGCTGCACCGATCCAAAGCCAGGAGCCAGGAGCTTCTTCCAGGTCTCCCACACAGGTGCAGGGGCCCAAGCACTTGGGCCATCTTCTACTGCTATCCCAGGCCATAGCAGAGAGCTGGATCAGAAGCGGAGCAGCCGGGACTTGAACTGGCGCCCATATGGGATGCTGGCACTGGAGGCAGCAGCTTTATCCACTATGCCACTGCGCCAGCCCCTTTTTTAAAAAAAATTTTTAAATGAAAGGCAGAGAGGTCCCATCTGCTGCTTCACTCCACAGATGTCTCAGTGGCCAGGGTTGGGCGAGGCTGAAGCCAGGCACTAGGAAAGCCGTCCAGCTCTCCCACTCATGAACCCATCCCCTGAGTGAGCCTCCGCCTGCTGCCTTGCAGGGTCTGTGTGAGCAGGAAGCTGGAGTTGGGGGTGGAAGGCAGGTGTGATACAGATGTGGGCGTTTTCCTAGGCCTCACACCTGCCCCTTCCATGAGCCCCTTGAAGACCACTGGTATGCAAGGAGTTCAGTCTTTTTGCACCTGAATAAACTTATCTTTTAATTCCATTTCCCACAAACTTCTGGAAATACCCTCATACAGTTTCCAACATGTAAATTTTAGGGGGACACCCCTAAACCATAGCAGTCGTTTTGCTTCTTTTATTTTATCTGAGAGGCAGAGGGTCAGACAGAAAATCTCCCCTCTGCCAGTTCATGCCACAGGCGTCTGCCGTAGCTGGGGTTAGCCTGGGCCAGGCAGAAGCCAGAAGCCTAGAACTGCACTGGGGCTCCCATGTGGGTAGCAGGGGCCCACGCACTTGGGCCATCTTCCGCTGCTTTTCTCAGACCATTAGCAGGGAGCTGGACCGGAAATGAGCAGCCAGGACATGAACTGGTGCCCATATGGGACACCTGTGATACAGGAGGGCCACTTAACCACTATGTCATAGGGCCGTGTGCCACCCTCACACCAGCCCTAGTAGTTTTGCTTCTGTTGTCATTGATGCGGTGTGAGCATCTTCCGGGGCTGAGTCTAACAGGGCAGTAAGGGCTGCACCTGCTCTGTGGAGGGAGGCAGAAGGGACGGTGACTGTGCCCCAGGGGATGTGTAGGGGCAGGGTGAGGGTCGTGTCCCTGAGGGCCAGGGACTGGAGATGCTGCCGAGTGTCCTGTGACACTCACTGAAGAGCTCTCACCATAGAGAACGTTTCTGCCCCAAAAGTCCACAGGGTCAAGGGCAAGAAATCCCAGGCTGAGACCGGGTCTCTCCAGGGCTGTGAGACAGATTTACAGGCCCCGTGAGGGCGACGGAGGCAGGTTTTGGGGTGCAGTCTTGACCCCCATTGAGGCTGCCCAGGGTTGGTGGTTCCCGTTCTGGGGAGAGCTGGTGCAGAACTACAGGGCCTGGGTGGGATCCAGGCCCCCACAGCCCTGGCCCTGGGTCCCGGGGTCCTGGCCTTGGCTGACAACTGTCCCTGGTCATCTGAAGACGTGGACGAGTGTGCGGACGGGTCCCAGGACTGCCACGCCCGCGGCATGCTGTGCAAGAACCTCATGGGCACCTTCACCTGCGTCTGTCCCCCGGGCATGCGGCCCCAGCCCAGCCCTGGGGAGGGCTGCATAGGTAGGGGTGGGTGCAGGGAAGCCCCCCCCAGGAGAGGAGGGAGGGCTAAGCATGGGGGGTGGGGGTGGGAATACTCAAGGGGGGACCCTCAGAGCCTCGGGGAGGCCAGCTGGGGGCCCCAGCCTGCCCGCCTCATCCCCACCACATGCAGATGAGGACGAATGCCACGCCCAGCCCGGCCTCTGCAGCCACGGCCATTGTGTCAACACGGTGGGCAGCTTCTGGTGTGACTGCCACGAGGGCTTCCAGCCCAGCCCCTCCCTCACCGAGTGCCACGGTGAGTGCCACCGTCCACCCACCACGTGGCACCGGTCCCTCTCCCAGCCTGCGAGCCCCTCGAAGCACAGATAGCATCTGGGACTCCAAGGAGGGGGCTGTGGGGGGTGGCTGAGCCGACGCCCCCCGCCCCCACGTCCCAGGTGTCTTTCTGCCCCTTTGATCCAATACCCAGGGAAGAGTGGACTGCCTGATCTGTGCCAACTGCAGTGACCTCTGAGCCAGGAGCTGTCTTTCCCTTGTCCTGGCAGACCACTCCTCCCCTAGGCCCCCCAAACACAGCTCAGCCCTAAATGAGCACAGCATCTTTGCCCCCAGACCACCCTCCTGGAGGGACCAGTGGCTGCTGCCCTGCCCCGCCCCGTCCCCAGCATCCAGCCTGAAGCCGCCTCTGTGTGCTTCCTGCATGTCCCTGGGCAGCAGCCTTCTGTCCTGTCCTCCCCGTTCTGTCCACCTGCTGCCCCCACCCTTCCCTTCCCAAAGAGCCCTGCGTCCCTTGCTGCTGTGTCCTCTCTCAACGGCCAGGAGGCCGTCCAGGCTCTGCAGCCCAGCCCAGGGCCATCGCTCTGATATTTAGGGCTGCAGCCAGTCAGGGGACAACGACTCTGAGGATTTCACCACTGGGAGGGGTCCCTGATGGCGGCAGGATTCTACCACCCCCACCCCCACCCCTCCTGTTCCGTGCAGATGTGCGGCAAGGAGCCTGCTTCTCCGAGGTGCTGCAGGCCGCGTGCCAGGCCCGCTCGAGCAGCGGCGAGGCTGTCTCCAGGGCCACGTGCTGCTGTGGGGGCGGCCGGGCTTGGGGGCCCCGCTGTGAGCTCTGCCCCCTGCCTGGCACCCCTGCCCACAGGAAGCTGTGCCCCCACGGCTCGGGCTACACTGCAGAGGGCCGAGGTGAGTGCCCCACTGAGATCATGCTCCTGATTGTGAGTCTGCTCCAGCGGGTGCTGGCCCGGGTGAGCAACCCTGTGTGCATGTGTGCACATGTGTGTGTGTGCCAGAAGGTACTGGTGTTGGACACGTGTGCAGAGCTCCGGTGGTCGAGTGTGCAGGCTTGTTAATGAGTGTGTAACAGTGTGTCAGTGTGTGTGAGCTGGTGTTTATTCTTTGTGTTTATGTTTGTTAATGTGTGCTAGGGATCATGGGAGCTGGTGTTGTGTCTTTGTGCACACGTGGTTTTGTGCCATGTTTATTGGAGAGACAGAGACAGGGAGAGCCGCCATTGACTTCTTCAGTGGAGGCATTTGGGACTGGACCAAGGATCACCCAGGTCTCCCATGTGGGTGGCAAGGACCCAACTACTTGAGCCATCACCTGCTGCTTCCCAGGGTGCGCATTGGCAGGAAACTGGAGAGGGAGAGGGAGGGGGAGAGGGAGAGGAAGAGGGAGACGGAGAGGGAGAAGGAGCCTCCTCCAACCCAGCCACTCCGATGTGTGACGTGGACATCTTAACCATGCCTCTTCTTTGTGCATACTTTTACGCACGTCTTATTTGTTAATAAGCACGTATGTGTGTGCCTGAGAGCATGTGAGCCATTGTCTGTTCTCGCATGCGTGCAGGTTTATCAGTGAACATGTGTGTGTGTGTGCACCACCGTGCGGGTGAGCTACTGTGTGTTCTCTGTGTGTGAGCCGGCAGAGGCATATGTGCCATCTGCCCATGGGGGAGGTGTGAGGGTGGCCACCTGAGTGCACGTGTGTGCGTGAGCGTGGGTCTCAAGGAGCCTGCCAGTGAGGTTGAGGCAGGGATCAGTGGTGGAAGAAGAACCCATTCCAGGGTGAGTCTCGCGGACAGAGGGGCCCCAGTGCGTGTGTGTGTCCCTGGGACTCTGCAGCACCATCTGGCCTGTGGCCAGTGTGTGGCATTGCGTGTGCTCATGGCTCCCTGTCTGTGTTTCTCCATCTGTGTGTGGGTGCCCTGGGCAGCTGTTGCTGGTGAGGCTTGGTACTGAGTGTTCACCCCTCCAGCCTTGGGGGGCAAGTGTCTCAGGGTCCAGTGGGCAGGGCCTCAGCGTGACTGGCAGGAGGGAGGTGTGGCCTGGTGGCCCCAGCCACACCCTGCTTTTCTCCAGATGTGGACGAGTGCCATGTGCTCGCTCACCTGTGTCCCCACGGCGAGTGCATCAACAGCATCGGCTCCTTCCATTGTCACTGCCAGGCCGGGTTTGCGCCAGACGCCGCTGCCACTGCCTGCCTCGGTGAGTCACAGCCACACCTCTGGCCCCGCACGGCCCCCAACCCCAACTTTCTAGGGACTTCCAGCGTGTAACGCATGGGTATCATGGCACAGCAGGTTAAGCTGCCTCTTGAAATACCTATATCCCATAGCAGAGTGCCAGTTTAAGTCCCAAGTGCTCTACTTCTGACCCAGCTCCCTGCTAATGCACCTGGGAAGACAGTCGAAGATAACCCAAGGGCTTGGGCTCCTGCCACCCATGTGGGAGACCTGGATGGAGTTCCTGGCTCCTGGCTTCAGCCTGGCTCAGACCTGTCTGCGTCAGCCATTTGGGGAGTGAACCAGCAGATGGAAGATTGATTGCTCGCTTGCTCTCTCTCTCTCTCTCTCTCTCCCTTTCTCTGTCACTCTGCTTTTCAAGTAGAACATTTTTTTTTTTTAAAGTAAGCAGGGGCTGGCGCCGTGGAGCACTAGGTTAATCCTCCACCTGCAGCACCAGCATCCCATATGGGCGCCGGTTCTAGTCCTGGTTGCTCCTCTTCCAATCCAGCTCTCTGCTATGGCCTGGGATGGCAGTGGAGGATGGCCCAGGTCCTTGGGCCCTGCACCCGCATGGGAGACCAGGAGGAGGCTCCTGGCTTCAGATCGGCATAGCGCCAGCCATTGTGGCCATTTGGGGAGTGAACCAACAGAAGGAAGACTTTTCTCTCTGTCTCTCTCTGTCTCTCTGTCTCTCTCTCTCTCTGTCTCTCTGTCTGTAACTCTGCCTGTCAAATAAATAAAATAAATCTTTTTTAAAAAAAATAAGCATTTTTTAAAAATTACACCTATGTGAGACACATAGAGACTTTTTTTCTTGTCATTCTGTAAACAACACAGCATAGCAGCTTATGCACACGGCGTGGACGTCGCATGAAGTGTTACAAGTCATCTGGAGATGACTGAAGTCTGCAGGAGGTGGTGCTGAGGTTCTGTGCAAACACTGAGCCACTTTAAAGAGGGGACATGGAAGCTCAGCTTTCCTTTACAAAGTGGTGCCTACGATGTAGGGAGACAGGAGAGCAAGCATCCCTAGTCCCCCCCCCCCACACACACACGCACGCACACACATCCTGGTTGTGCCGCTTGCCTGGTGCTCACTGTACATCCTGAAATCTGGGGCATATTGTCATCAATGTTAGTGGTAGACTCTAGCCCAAGGGCCAAGTCTGGCCCTCCGTTTGTTATCCTAAATAAAGTTTTATTAGCACACAGCTACATGTATTTGTTTACTTACCCTCCCGGGCTGCTTTTCTAATATGAAGGCCATGCTGAGTAGCTGCGACTGAGACAATGTGGCCCACAGAGCCAGTATCCATGGAGAATTGGTTCCAGAATTTAGTATCCCAGTGGATACCAAAGTCCACAGATACCCAAGTCCTTTCTGTAAAGGAGGTAGTGTTTCCATGGAACCTAAGCACCTATGCCTGTAGTCAGAGTTACGAGCGGAAGAGAGAGACTGAGAGAAAGAAAGAGAGAGAGAGAGAGGTCTTCCATCTCCTGGTTCACTCCCCAAATGGCCACAACAGCCAGGGCTGGGCCAGGCTGAAACCAGGAGCCAGGAGCTTCTTCCAGGTGGCCCACGTGGGTGGCAGGGGTCCTATTTGCTGCTTTCCTGGGAGCACTAGCAGGGAGCTGGATCAGAAGCAGGGCAGCCGGGACTCAAATAGGTGCTCCCTTACTTCATATGGGCTGTCAGCGTTGCAAGCGGCGGCTTAACCCATTGAGCCATAGTGCTGGTCTCTGTTGAGGGAGCTGCGATGAAGAAAAAGCCGGCACACGTTCAATGCAGACAGTTTTTTTTGTCTAGTCCCGGTCTGTGGCTGGCTGTGTCTGCAGACGGGGGACACACGGGCACACAGAACCGGCCACATTTACCCTCTGGCCATTTACAGAAAAGGCCCTGATTTCCTGTGTGAATGCACAGATTCTGGACAGCCAGAGTCGGGGAGGTGAAGACCCCCCCAGCCCCTGAGTCCCCAGGGAATGTCCACGTGACCCTCCCCTGCCGTCTCTTCCTCCAACCCCCAGATGTGGATGAGTGCAGTCAGACCCCCGCCCCGTGTTCCTTCCTCTGCAAAAACACCGAGGGCGGCTTCCTGTGCAGCTGCCCCCGCGGCTACCTGCAGCAGGAAGATGGTAGAACCTGCGCAGGTGACGTCCCGCCCTCTCCCCCACTCCGGTGCCCCCTGGGGCCCTGGCCCCGCCCCCATCCCACTCCCTGAGTCGGGTATCCTCTCTGGGGTCTTTCTCCCGTTGCCCCTCTGCTTGGAAGTGGCGGGAGCAGCCTCCCGGGAGGTCCTCGCCCCCCACCCCCACCCCCAGCCCCCAGTCTGAGCCTGCTGGACTGTCTGTGCCGCAGACCTGGACGAATGCTCATCCCGGAAGCACAACTGTAAGTTCCTGTGTGTCAACACCGTCGGCGCCTTTGCCTGCCGCTGCCCGCCTGGCTTCACCCAGCACCGCCACACCTGCTTCGGTGAGTGACCCCGCCCCTCGCCCGGGGGCTGCCAGGCCACCCCGGCCTTCACTCGTTCCTTCAGCAAAGAAGCATCAAGCACCCAGTGCGGTTCCCGGGACCTCCCGGTCATGGGGGCATCTAGAACATTCTTTGCTTCCTTGCTCCAGGGGCTGGGGGTTCCGCCCCCAGCTGATCTCTGCCCAGGACATCTCCCCTTGCACCTGACCAGAGTCCCTGCCAGGACTGCCTCTTAGGGCCTCCCCAGGTGCTCCCAGGGGCTCCCATGGCTCAAAGTGGACATAGCCCCAAGGTGCCTCCCCGGGGGCCTCCCCATTTTTTTTTTTTTTTTTTTTTTTTTTTTTTGACAGGCAGAGTGGACAGTGAAAGAGAGAGAGGCAGAGAGAAAGGTCTTCCTTTTGCCATTGGTTCACCCTCCAATGGCCACCGCGGCCGGCGCACCGCGCTGATCTGATAGCAGGAGCCAGGTACTTATCCTGGTCTCCCGTGGGGTGCAGGGCCCAAGGACTTGGGCCATCCTCCACTGCACTCCCTGGCCATAGCAGAGAGCTGGCCTGGAAGAGGGGCAACCGGGACAGAATCCGGTGCCCCGACCGGGACTAGAACCCGGTGTGCCGGCGCTGCAAGGTGGAGGATTAGCCTGTTGAGCCATGGCGCCGGCACTGCCATTGTTTCTTAGTGTCTCGTGGCCCCTGGGGCATCCAACCCTCCTTAGCGGCTGAGCCCAGCCAAGATGACCCCTTTCAGGCCTCCTTTAATCCGCTCAGCCCAGCCCCTCCTGAGCACCACAGAGTATCGGGTAGTGCTTCCAATCAGAGGATGGCAAACTGACAGCCAGCCAGCCAAGTGTGACCCTATGTTTGCTTTTTTAAATAAAGTTTTACTGGCACACAGCCATGTCCACCTGTGTGGACCTATTATCTGGAGCTGTTTTTGCATGACAGTGGCAAAGTGGGATCTTATGGGCTTTTTAAAAAATATTTATTTATTTATTTGAATGGCAAAGTGTCAGAGAAAGACAGAGAGAGATCCTCCATCTGCTGGTTCACTCCCCAGATAGCTGCCACAGCCAGGGCTGGGCCAGGCTGAAGCCAGGAGCTATGGACTCCGTCCAGGTCTCTCACTTGGATACAGGGGCCCAGGCACTTGAACTATCATCCACTGCCTTCCCAGGTGCATTAGCAGGAAGCCAGATGGGAAGTGGAGCAGCTGGGACTTGAACCAGCGCTCCGATGTGGGATGCCAGCATCGTAAGCAGCAGCAGTTTAACCCACGGCACCACAACATCGGCTCCTAACATAAAGCTGTGGAGACTAAAAGCTGTCCCACTGGGAACTGGGGCTTCAACGTATGACTTTGCTGGGCCCCACACATGGGGTCTGCAGCAATGGCAGTCCCCCTTGGCAAGGTGTCCTTGAGAACGCAGCTCGACAGGGACACCCCCCCGCCCCAGTTGTCCTCCTGCCACAGAAGGAAAAGGTTGCATCCGACTTTGTTCACGTCGGGCGCGATTCTCAGCCCTGTGTCTGATTAGGTTAATTTCAATTCTTACCCAGCATTGCAAAGAGCAGTATGGCTGCTGAGAAAACCCAGACACAGAGAGGGCAGGTCAGTCACCTCAGGCCACACAGCTTCCAAGTGGTGGCCGGGAGATTCACACAACATCCTCTATGTGCAGGAACTGCTGGGGATCTCATTTTTTTAAAAGATTTATTTATTTATTTGGAAGTCAGAGTTACACAGAGAGAAAAAGAGGGAAGGAGGGAGAGGGAGGTCTTCCATCCACTGGTTCACTCCCCAGTTGGCCGCAACAGCTGGAGCTATGTTGATCTGAAGCCAGGAGCTTCCTCAGGGTCTCCCATGTGGGTGCAGGGGCTCAAGGACTTGGGCCATCTTCTACTGCTTTCCCAGACCATAGCAGAGAGCTGGATGGGAAGTGAAGCGGCCAGGACTCTAACCGGTGCCCATATGCAATGCCGGCACTGCAGGCGGCGGCTTTACCCACTATGCCACAGTGCCGGCCCCTGGGGATCTCATTTCTCAGAGACAGGAATAGGCACATACAGAGAGTGGGACTGCTAATGGGTGCCCTCATCTCATTCCCCTAACCACCAGGCAACCCTGCCTGTGTCCTGTTCCCTGCAGATGACAACGAGTGCTTGGCCCACCCCAGCCCCTGCGGTGCCCGTGGGCGCTGCCACAATGCCCCAGGCAGCTTCCACTGTGAGTGCTACCAAGGTTTCACACTGGACAGCTCCGGCCATGGCTGTGAAGGTAGAGCCGGGCATGGGGTGGGATCTAGACTGAGCATGGGCTGGGGGATTGCTGCTGGGTGAGCCCCTCTCCCTCCTGCCCTCCATCTCTCCGTGTGTCGGACGTGGATGAATGTAACGGGCCCCATCACTGCCAGCACGAGCTGTCAGAACGAGTTGGGGGGGGCTACCGCTGTGACTGCCCCCAGGGCTTCACCCTGCACTCCCAGTGGGCCCAGTGTGTGGGTGAGTGGTGGGGGCGGGGAGGAAGCCGGAGCCCTGCCCCCCGCCCAGGTCTGTGCAGAGTGGACAGTGAGGGACCACTGCCTGATGTTGTGACAGAAACAATTGCCCAGAGATCAGACAGCCTGGAAGGTCATTGCTGGGGAGTCAGGGCTGCCGAGCAAAGTGTTCAAATCCGGTTCCTCAGGCAGTGGCGGCTTAGGGGATTCGGTTGAGGAAGATTCTGAGACAGTGCTTGTGATCACTGGGAAAGAATGCTGTGATTGATTAGTGATGTCTGAATGGTATAGCAGAGTGTTGTGATGGACTAGTGATGTCTGCCATGGGTGGGGCAAAGAGAGTGCTGTGATCAGCGATAACTGCCATGGGTGGGATCAGAGTGTTATGATTGATTAGTGATGTCTGCCCTGGGTGCAGCCATGGGCAGTAGAAGTATGCAAGCTACATCTTGCCATAGCTGTCCCAGAGGCTCTGTATTTGCAGGGCTCAGCTCTTGCCTTCCAGTCTTCCTGATGGGCTCATTCTCACCACTTCTCTTCATTTCTCCCCTACAGCCTGGCTTTCATCTTCTGCCCCATTGGGCCCACTTGCTGTCCTGAGACCTGTCCATCATCTCTCCTCAGCCCCTCCCCTAGACCTCCGTCTCTCTGGGGTACCGTGGCCTGCCCCTCCTGGGCACTGCCTCCTCCTGCGGCCTCCTGCGGCCGCAGTCCACTCCCGAGCAGGCGCTGCCCTCTCTGCCCCCTCGTCCTGTCTCCTGTCTTCAGCAGAGCTTTCTCTCCTCCCACGCCAGCCCCCCAGGGCATCTCGGGGCTCACAGAGCATCAGCCCGTGCTGGTAACTCCTCATTCTCAACCCGTGTCCTCCTCCACGTGCTTATCCCTTCTTTCTCAGCTGTTTCTGAGAACCTGCCTTGTAGTAGGCTCTGAGGATGCAGAAGGGAGCCCCAGAACAGGCTCCGTCCCCCACCCCCGAGCTAGCAGGGAGCTGGGAGAGCCTTGGACCACTCAAGTTCTAATACAGAGAGGCAGACAGACAGACAGGCAGATGTCCCACAATGGCCAGGACTGGGCCAGGCCACAGCCAGGAGCCAAGAGCTCCATCCAGGCCTCCCACGTGGGTGGCAGGGGCCCAGGTGCTCGAGCCACCTCTGCTGCCTCCCAGGGTGCGCGTTAGCAGGGAGCTGGATGCTCTTGGCCTTGCTGGGGTGCTGCCTAACACCTTGCAGGGGATGTGGGCAGCTCCTGGACAGACATCGGTCTGGTCCCAAGTGTCAGCAACACTGAGGGTGAGGAGGGGGAGGGGAAGGGCGGACCGAGGGCAGTGCCGTGACCCTGCTGGAGACTTTGACCTTGAACTTGAGCTCCGAAGGGGGAGGGTCCCAAGTGAAGGGGATCAGGGAGGGTGCAAAGGCCGCTTCCTGTTCCCTCCCCTGCTTCCTCCTGCCCACAGATGAGAACGAGTGTGTCCTGTCCCCGGCCACCTGCGGCACCGCCACCTGCCACAACACCCTCGGCGGCTTCCGCTGCGTCTGCCCCCCTGGCTTTGACTTCGACCAGGCCCTCAGGGGCTGCCAGGATGTGGATGAGTGCGCTGGACCGGGCAGCCCCTGCAGCTACGGCTGTGCCAACACTGCTGGCAGCTTCCTGTGTGGCTGCCCCCGAGGCTACTTACGGGCTGGGCAAGGGTGAGAGACACCAGTGGGGCAGGCAGGGGGCCTGGGAGTGGACGCACACACACAGAACCAGCAAGGATGTGTACACGTGTGGGCACGGAGGAGCACACGTGTGCAGAGGCATGGCGGCACACACAGGCTCACACACCAACCGCTCGTCATGCACACGGCTCATGCCTACGTCAGCGTGCCCAGGCACCCTGGGACATTTGTGGATCCTCACATGCACACGTGCATCTGGGTCTTACCCTGCATGCAATGCTCGCACAGCTCATAACGCTAGGGGTACGTGTGTGCTGTTGATAGACCTGGTTTGCACAGCGCTGGACGGACACCCGGAGTCATCCCTCTGTTGGCATATGGGGTTCATTCCAGGGCCCCTCATGGAAACCAACACACACAGGCGCTCGAGTCCCTTATATGACGTGCCGTGACGTTTACACAGAACCCACGCAATCCCCCCGTGCGCTTTCTGTCGTCTGCACATGACTTATCACGCCTAACGCAATGAACACGCTTGGCGGATCCTTGTACTGTGACGAGCAGACAGTCCTCTCGGCTGGTGGTGTTCAGCAGAGCTGCCCCCACCGCACGCCCAGGCACACGGTGCCCACCAGCCACAGCCTGGCAGTGACATCCACAGTAGGCTGGGCCCGAGGCTGTGTCACCCTGGGAAACGGGGACCAATCATACACGCACCTGCCAGTGAACACACGTGTCACCTTCCAAGTGTGCATGCATACACACACACACACATCTCTGGGCACACTTGTGCTGCTGAGACATCCCAACATGCACATGTGTGCACACATGTGGCATCTCTGTGTATACACACATGACATCCCTGTGTGCATGCAAGCTGTCCCAGGCACAGCCCTTTGCACACACAGCATCCCCGTGTGCACACGAGCTGCCAGGTGCAGGCCCCCTGGGTGCGCTCGGCCACACCCACCCAGCTCAGCACGTGTGTGTCTTACTCCTGTGTACACCCGGCTAAGCTGTGAGATGCCTATGCACACAGAGCCCCGTGCACACCGAGCCTCAGGCCTGTTTGCACACCAGAGTTCGCCACCACGGGCAGCATGGCTCACAGCAGAGGGGCAGGTGAGGGAGGGAAGCTGGGGAGGCCCCACCCCCTGCTCCCGAAGGCCCACCCACCCTACCCATTCCGCTCCAGGCACTGTGTCTCTGGCCTGGGCCTCGGCCCAGGGCTCCAGGATGCCCCAGATGAGAAGGAAGAGCCACTCTCGCCTGAAGCCTGCTATGAGTGCAAGATCAACGGGCTCGCCTCTGGGAACCGGCCTCGGCGCAGTGCACACAGGGACCCCCAGGTACTGTGGGGGCTGCCCGGGGCGGGGCGGAGCAGCAGGGCATGGATGCGGGCTGGCAGGGAGGATGTGGGCCCCCTCCACAAGAAAGAACTCTGGGGTGTGGGGCCTGCCCAGGGCTTCCTTAATATGCTCAACCCCAGGTTGCTCTTGGGGGGCCCCTGGACTCCCTTACCTCATAGCTGATGATGAGCTAGGCACCCCCTTGCTGCCTCCCTTGGAGCTCTGCCTTGCATGGCTCTTGGAGGCAGGAGAAATGCCTCAGTCCCCCCAGTTCTGCCTCCCCCAGAACTTGGCACACCTCCCCACCGGCTGGGGAGGCTCCCCCAGGGAGCCCCTCGGGATTTAGCACCAGTGGGGCCCAGAATGGCCAGTTTAGCAGCCTGCACCTGTCTGCTGTGCCTGGCTTGCCTCTCCTGAGTGACAGCCACCAGTTCCCGGCCCTGGTGGGGCCTGGGTCCCTCTCCTGCCAGAGCCTTAGTGGTGGTGGTCCTCTCCCCCCACCTCCCAGCATCGGCCTCTGCACCACTCTCCGTGCCTGCGCTCCCTGAGAGTCCCCACCCCTGCAGCATCTCTGGAAGTCCCAGGAGTCCTCTCCACGCCTCCATGCCCCTGCGCTGAGACCCTGACCCCACCAGCGTGTGCAGGGTGCATGTTTTCGACGCAGATTGGAGCTTCTTACCCCGAGGCCACTGCTGGTCAGCTCTGAGGGATCTAAAAGTTAAACATGTATTAAGCACCTGCTGGATACAACTGCTACAACTCACACACACACCCAGCTCCCTCTGCCATCACTACTTCCTGTGAGGCTACCCTCCCACTGCCAGGCCCCTCTGCTGTATAGAAACAAACCCGCCTCTGACCTTGAAGCATCACTGCCAGCTCACCCCACAGTGGACATGTCCTAGGTCCGACCTTCAGGATGTAGGTTTTACTGAACACCTACTATGCTCTGAGCACTGTCTCGGGGCAGCAGGGAACAAGAAAAAAGCCCCTTCGCTCGTGGGCTGATTTACGAATAGGGAGACAGACAATAAGTAAAACAGATTTTGTTTTTATAACACCCAGTCGATAAGATCTGTGATGAATGCCATGGAAAAATACAGCCGTGGGGTGGATGTAGGGGCTGAGGGACCGCCCATGTGAGCTGGACGGACTGTCCGTTCCTTCACCCTCGTTCTCTCTGCAGCTGGTTGCTTCGTTCCATTTTTGCTTGCCAGGAGAAACTCTGGCTCTGTGCTTGTATCATCCCCTCGTTACTGGCACATGCTCTGTCAGCTTCACAGAGCCCTTGGAGCTCATGAAGAGTGAATGGAGTGGTGTACTGGCCCCCTGGGCTGGGCATGCGTACAAGGGGACTTCAGAGAAGTTCATGGAAAATAGAAAGGAAAGCCGGCGCCGTGGCTCAATAGGCTAATCCTCCACCTTGCGGCGCCGGCACACCGGGTTCTAGTCCCGGTTGGGGCGCCGGATTCTGTCCCGGTTGCCCCTCTTCCAGGCCAGCTCTCTGCTATGGCCAGGGAGTGCAGTGGAGGATGGCCCAGGTGCTTGGGCCCTGCACCCCATGGGAGACCAGGAAAAGCACCTGGCTCCTGGCTCCTGCCAGAATCAGCGCGGTGCGCCGGCTGCAGCGGCGGCCATTGGAGGGTGAACCAACGGCAAAGGAAGACCTTTCTCTCTCTCTCACTGTCCACTCTGCCTGTCAAAAAAAAAAAAAAATAGAAAGGAAAGATAAAGTGGAGACCAGCGTAGTGGCCTAGTGGGTAAACTCGCCACTGTGACGCCGGCATCCCATATGGGTGCTGGTTCCAGACCCAACTGTTTTGCTTTTAATTCAGCTCCCTGCTAACGCGCCTGGAAAAGCAGCAGATGATGGTCCAAGTGCTTGGGCCCTGCCACACACGTGGGAAACCCCAAAAAGGCTCTAGGCTCCTGACTGCAGCCTGGCACAGACCCAACTATTGTGGCCACTGGGGAGTGAACCAGCAGATGGAAAATCAATGTCTCTCTCTCCCCCCCCAACTCACTCCCTCTCCCCCACTTCCGTTTCCCTACCTTCTCCCTCTCTCTGTGTAACTTTGCCTTTCAAATAAATAAAAATTTTTTAAAAGATAAAGTGGATTTGGTGCAAAACAATTTGAAATTCGTGCATAGCTTTTTCATAATAATGTATTTTCCACAACCTTTTGGAAAACTCCTCGAATGCATGGACTTCAGAAGTTTTGGCACCAAATGAACTTATCTTTTCATTCCATCTTTCCACGAACTTTTGGGGACCCCTCTTTAAGTCTGGATTGAGGAAGGTGGCGCTGTGGGCCTTTGCCTGCAATACCCACTGACCACCAGCAGGTGTCAGGAAGCACTCATGTCTGTGCCGCACTCCCAGGGACCTCTGAGGCTGGGGACTTGAATGAAATAGCTAACAGTCCCCGTGCATGCAAATTAGGTGAAGTCCGCACAGCACTGCCTGGAGCAAAGGAGAAAAGACAGACAGTCTTCTGTGGGACTGGATACGTCACCCAGCCCGGTAGCCCTGCCATTGAAGTGTGGTGGCTTATTCAGGGTCTTGTCCGGCTGCCAGGACCAGGAAGGCACTGCAGAGGAGCTGGGATAAAGAGGGGCTTGTCGTCCGCACACAGGGAGCTCTCAAAGAGAGGCAGGTGCAGGAAGCCCGGCGGAAGCTCCCGTGTCTAGCCCAGCTGGGTGTCCTGCATCTCTCGCTGTGTTGGCCCCAGAAGCCTTTCTGGGGACTGGTTTATGTAGAAAAGCCATTGGTTACAACCCCATTCATCCCTGGGTGACCACGGGGGCTCCAGAGCCCGTCGCCATCCGACTGGCCTCCCCTCCTGCCTGGGGCTTTAGGAAAAACCTTGAATTCCCTCTGTGGCTGTGACCCCAGAGCCCCCCACCCAGTCTCTGACCACCCACTTGGTCTGTCTCTCCAGGTGAGCCTGGCTACTCTTGACTCAGAAGTTCCACTGACCTTGCACCTGAACCTCTCATGCCTGGGCCAGGCAGAGCGCATCCTGGAGCTTCGGCCAGCACAGCGGGGGCCGGGGGGCCAGGCCCGCTACGTCATTGCACGTGGCAATGAGCAAGGCTTTTTCCACATACATCACCGTGGTGGCCTCAGCTCCCTGCGGCTGGGGCGTCGGAGGCCGGGGCCTGGGACCTACCAGCTGGAAGTGGTGAACGTGGCGGGGTCCTGGGACGCCCGGCCGAGGGTCCGAGCCTTGCGGCTGAAGGTGCAGCTGCAGCTACTATAGTTGAAAGAGGCCTTCCCAGGCCCCCGGGGCTGCAGTGCTGCCTAGGGGGCGTGAGATTCCAGAAGCAGCAACCTACCCTGTCAACCCCCAAGACTCAGGAAGACTTGAATCCCCACACGAGGACCTCACGCCAAGCCAAGGGGACTCCAAAGTTGATCTGTTCCTGGACACAGTGGGCACCCAGGGTCAGGAAGGGGCCCCGCGGCCGCTGGGTGTAGTCAGTCTCAAGCCAAAACTTCTGTACTGCACTGGGGCTCCCCTGGTGGGGGCGGGGGACTCCCTACCATGTTTCCTGGGGTCTTGGCTTGGGACCCGAGGACATATATATATATATCAGAAGTGGACACAGCAATAAAGTTATTTTGGATTAAGTGTGTCTGACCTTTGGCAAGCTCTCAAGGTGAGGAGACGCGGCACGCAGCAGGGCCAGGCTCCTGCTTCCTTCACCGCCCACATGCCCGACGGCATTCTGGGTATTTTTATGATCATCTACCCCGCTGGCGGCCACCGCAGCTCCGTGGCGGTGGAGGCTGTCGTCATCACTTCCCCACTTTACAGATGGGAAAGCTGAGGCTCGGACAGGTCCAGCGCCTCGGCCAGCGTGGCAGGGGCAGGTTGGAAGCCAGGTGCTCGCGCTGTCCTGCCCGGTTCCGGGTGTGGTCAGCCTGAGTGCCGAGCTGGGTGGTGGGAACGCTCGTCACGCTGCCAAGCGTGTGGTTGGCCTGGGGTGTGTTGTGTGTTGTCACAGAGAGCAGTGTGTTTGGTCCCAGGCAGGCAGGGTCATCATCCCCACTTGCTGGGATGGGGTTGGGGGAGATAGGAAACGGATTTTATGGAAGCTGCCTGGGTCCCCCAAGTAGTGCATGGCAGGACCTGAGTGTGACCCCATTCTTGCTGGCACTGCACCCTGGTCCCTGGCCTCAAACCACGGAGATGTCCTACAGAGTTTTTCTCCAGAACATTCTCTCTGGCAGAGTTGCCAGTGCTGCCTGGCGGTGGCGTCCTTGACCTAGTCCCAACCCACGGGAGGTACCAAAGGTCTCTGGGCAGCCCATCAGAGCCTGAGGGGGTGGAGAGGTCCCTGGGCTCCCCACCACCCTGGAGTTGAGGCCAAGCAATCATAGCCACCCCCATTGTTCAGCCAAGCAAAGAGGAACCGAGGTCACTGGCTGACATGCAAGTTTCAACCCACCTTGTGCTCACTGCCTCCCTCCAGGAGCTGTCCATCATGCTGGCGGGGCGGGGCACAGACCTCAGGGTGGGGATCACATGCATTGCACCCCAGGCTGGTACACCCCGAGACGAAGCAAGAGCAAGACAAAGAGCAGGAATGGCATCCTTCCAAATAAAGTTTTATTGAAAAGTTATAAAAACAAGAAAGTACAGGCTGGGGATGGGGGGAGGTGCCTGAACTGCTGTGTGCTTTGCAAGGAACCCAGCAGGTGGGCCTGGCCTGGGGTGGTGAGGACCTTAAAATCAGAAGGTCACCTCCCTTTTCCCAGTGGCAAGAGGGGCAAGGGGGCGGGGGGCAGGGGTGCATTGCGGGGGAGGGCAGGACGGACGCAGGGGCAGGTGGCAGGAGCGGCCTGGCTGGCCCGGGGTGACTTGTTCTGTCAGAGGAAGATCCTCTTGTGTTGGCGGATCCCGGAGATGGAGACGTGTGGGCTCAGAGCCCTGCAGTTGGGGGATCAGGGAGGGGTGAGCCGAGTGGAGTTGAGGGCTGTGAAATTATGATAAATAGGCATATTGACCTCTGCCCCAGGCAGTCCTTGGCACAGAGCTCCCGAAACCCTTGTGATCTGAGTGTCTGAGTGATAAGCCTGCTGGGAGCCTGCTTTGTTCTAGCGTTTGGTCTTTTGACCCTGCTTCCTGAGGGGCGGCTCCAACCCCCACCCCACCCCCAACTTCCTGGGCTGGTAGCAGCCTCTTGGGATCCTGGTAGGTAGATCTCTGTGGATCCTGGACCAGGGGTAGGGGAGAGGGTGGGCCTGGCCACCAGAAGGCCCGGGATCCCACCCCCGGTTCTCCCATGGAGGGCCGGGAAATGGAGTTAGGCGTGGATCATGACCACACAAGGAAGCTTCTAGAAGAAAGCCCTGAGCTGTGGCGTTCAGGGAGCCTCTGGGTTGGGGGACATGTGTGAGTGCCAGGGCACAGGGGTGGTGCACCCCAATTCCAGGGAGGGAGGAGCTCCTGCCCTCAGGACTCTCACCCCCCTAGCTGACTCCCCGCTGGTTCCTAAGTGTATGCCCCAGAAGCCACTCCCACAAAAACTGGATCTGAGAAGGCAGCCCCCCTCCCCCAGGGGAGGCAGCCCCCTCCCAGGGCTGGGAAGTCAGGGGCCCAGCCCACTGCTTTCGACTGGCATCTGAAGTAGGGGCCTAGTGGCAGAGGGAACTGGCTGGGGGAGCTGCGATGCCCGCCTCCCACATCGGCCGCTCTGCTTCCGCTCCAGCTCCCTGCTAACGCGCCTGAGAAAGCAGCAGAAGTCGCTTGGAGCCCCTGACACCTCTGTAGGAGACCCGGATGTGGTTCCAGGCTCCTGGCCGTTGTGGCCATTTGGGGAGTGAGAGTGTGGCGTGTAGGGAAACACCCTGACACATCGGGTGTCAGAGGTGTTGTGTGGAGCAGGGGGCTCTGGATGGCAAATAACGGTTTTCTCTTGTGAGAACCCCGCAGCTCTTGGTGTGTGGGCCTGGCATCTGCTTCTGGCACTTCCTGAAGTCCACCCTTGGGCTGAGTCAGGGCAGTGGGCAGCCGCCTGGAACCCGCCCATGTGACCCTGCAAGGCTCAGACCACCCAGTAAGGACATGCTGGGTCCTGTGGGTGAGCCCCTGGTCCTGGTCTGGCCCAGTCATGAGCCCTCAGCCCTCTGCAGAGGGGAAAGGCGGGGATGGTCACGTGACCGAGCATCCTCACCCAGCTTTGCTGCTGTTTGGAGGGTGGCATTCCTCTTGCCGCTGCCGGCGGGACTGCTCTGCTTGGATGATGGTGGCCAGGACTTTCTAGAACTCAGCTTCTTCCTCTCACTGCGAGGGACTGTTGGAGAGATGGAGAGAAATAGAGAGAGCTCTGCTGACACCCTTGGAGCCCCTGGATCCCACCAAGCCTGAAGCTGCTTCTGCCACCTGCTTGAGTTTCCCATAAGTGGCAACTGAAAGTGACCTGGGTTCCAAGCTGCAGGGGGGCTGGCACTGTGGCGCAGAGGGTTAAGCCTGCAACCCATATGAGTACTGGTTCGAGTCCCAGCTGCTCCATGTTCGATCCAGCCCCTGCCAAATGTTCCTGGGAAAGCAGCAGATGACGGCCCAAGTACCTGGGCCCCTGCACCCACCGGGGAGACCAGGATGGAGTTCCTGGCTCCTGGCTTCAGCCTGGCCCAGCTCCAGCCATTGTCCTCATTTGGGAAGTGAACCAGTGGACAGAAGATTCTCTCTCTCTCACTCACTCTGTGACTCTGCCTTTCATAAAGCTTTTTTTTTTTATTTCCAATTTATTTGAAAGGCAGAGTTACAGAGAGAGGGAGAGACACACAGATCTTCCATCCCCTGGTTCACTCCCCAAATGGCCGCAACAGCCAGAGCTGTACCAACCCGAAGCCCGGAGCCAGCAGCTTCGTCTGGGTCTCCCATGTGGATGCAGGGGCCCAAGCACTTAGGCCATCCTCCACTGCCTTCCCAGGGGCATTAGCGGGGAGCTGGATCAGAAGTGGAGCAGCAGGGACTTGAACTGGTGCCCATATGGGATGCTGGCATTGCAGGTGGTGGCTTATCCTGCTACCCCATGGTGCCAGTTCCCTTAAATAAATTAAAAACAAACAAACAAACAAAAGGCTAGCTGATGGGGCTGAGAAGCTCAGAGGCCCGGGGCGGGGAAGGGGTCTCACCCCCTCGCAGAGTCTTCTGAGAATGGTGGCAGGACTTCCTCCGTGTGTTCAGTAACTTCACGGCCCTTTGCACCTTCTTGTCCTGTGGGTTCCCACACACTATTCTGTGTTTCAGGCAGAACCTGCAGTGCGTAGAGAGGGGGTGCCCGGGTTAGGGTGCACGGTAGGGAAGAAAAGCAGCATGGAGCCCCCCACTCCGCGGCTGACTCCGGTTTCACTCACCTCACGGCGCGCAGATTGCAGCTTCCGCTCACCTCCTGGAGCTGGTAGCCCTGGGTGCGCTGGAGCACAGCCCACGACAGGCTGTGGTACGCCAGGCAGCAGTCCTCAGAGATGCCTGCAACTGCACAAGTGCCCCGTGCTGCTGCATCCACGCACGTGGAGCCCCCAGCTCCAGGGCCAACAGCAGGTGCAGCACCCAGTCCCATCCTCCAAGCATCTTGCCAGGGTGGGAGGAGGGACTCTTGCTCTTGGCGAGCCTGTCCCCTCTTCCCCTGGGTCCCCTCACAGTGACTACTGAAGTCCCCCAGCCAGACACCAGGAGTCCCAACTAGCAAAAGCAGGTAAAGAGAAACCACACATCTAGACAGACACAGAGTTTGGTGCAATGCTGTCTTCCAGGAGCCCCCGGCCTGGGGGAGAGACAAGGAAACTGATCTGCGAGGACACAGGGTTGCACGGGCACTGGGGGACACACCCAGAAGAGGGGAAAAAGATCTGGAGGGAGGAACGGGTGGGATGAGTGAGCAGGGGAGGACTTGGGGAGATGGTGGTGGGGGCCAGTGTGGGCTCCTGCACCTTGACCTTGGCCTCTGAAGTCTGCTGCCGGAGCCGGCCTCCAGGATCCAAGTTCAATCTCTGGTAGGTGCCAGCCAGAGAGGAGGGAGGAGGGGAAGGGCTCCAGCCCCTCCTGGCATCTCCCAACCTTGGCCTCTGAAGGCAAGGGGCAGTGGCATTGGATGAGACCTTGAGCTGCCATGCTCCTATCCGGGTGCTTCCCAGGGCTGGAGGTCCCCTATTCCCCAGGATCAAAGGGCGGGGACTGAACCTGGCTCCCACAGATAGCAGCAGGGAGAGCAGCGGGGCCCAGCCCACTGCGGGCAAAGGCTAAGCCTCTGTGGACCCAGCTGAGGGGCTGTTGGGGTGGGAGGGCGTGGCTGTGGCTCCTTGACTCGGTCATGCTGCTGGGACTCAATCTCCTCTTTCGGGCTCTCCAGGGACATGGGACCCAGTGCCAAGATCAGGGATTGGGGGGGGGGCACTGCATATCCTCAAGTGCCTGCCCTGGGACCACCCATTAATGACAGTAGTGGCTGTTGCTGGGCCCAAAGTCCTCCTTTCGCAGGCAGTGGCTCCGTAGATCCTGCTATCTGATCTGTGCAATGGGAATTTCAGATTCCCACTTTACAGATAAAGAAACTGAGGCCCATAAAGATGGTATAGCAGCTGCAGAGGGAAAGGGGAGGGGCGGGGTTCAGATGAGACTCCACTGCTGCAGGTCTCCAGCCCAGTCCTGGCCCTGCAGGGTTGGGACCCTATAAAGTGCACCACCCCTCCAACACACTATGCGATCAGGGCTGTGAGTGGCTTTGTCCATGGCTGGAAGCCACCCTCGGCCCCTCCCACAGTCTCTGGGCCCCTGGAGTCACCATGGGGAAGAAGGAGCCAGCAGGGGCCCTCTGTAACAGTCCCCTGCACTAATGCTGGGAGTTCCTGCACGCCAGGGGCGAAAGTCCTCTTAGAATTCAGCAGAGAGGGGAAGATGGGGAGGGGCGGGGGGGCTGGGAAGGGAGGGGAGCAACAAATGAGGGGGACAAGGAGGACAAAAGGGGAGAGAGGTTGCCAGGGGAATGGCCAAAGACAGTACCTTGGGTGTGGACAGCGGGGGTCCAGGCACCCACGAAGCAGACCACCAGGCAGGCCAGGATCCATGAGTTCATGGTGCAGGCTGGTCCTCCCCTTTTGGCACCTGGAAGGAATTAACAGGGCCACCTGGGGAGGAAGAAAGGCGGGTGCTGAGGCTCCCAGGAGGTCAGCTGCTGCCACTGCCCCCCCCCACCTCCCCCGGGGCCCTCCGCAAGGGAGGCAGGTCACACAAGCTGGGGACAAGCCTTGCCCGAGGGAACCACTGCTGGTGTGAGCCAAGGTCAAGGGAAGGACTCACCCTCTGGATCGGGATCCCAGGAGCTGGTGCTTGCTGGGATGCCGGCCAAGTTCTCCCGCCTGGGGGCCAGCAGGCTTCAGCCTCACCCTTTATAGACCCAGCCCCGCCCTGCTACCACCTGCCCTCCCTCCACACTCCTCCTCCTTCCCTGTGCCACCTGCTCTGCCAGACTCCTGGCTTCCCCCCGTTGGGCAGCCAGACAAACCCTAGCCTTTCCCTCACCCCAGGCCTCTTGTCTACACACACCTGCTGGCTCCCTTCCCTGGTGCCCTCACCGGCACACACCTGGGTGGACACCATCTCCCTGCACAAGTGCTTTCCTGCCTCTGTTTCCTGGGCACCTACTCCTGTGGGGCTCTGGCTGCACCCCATTTTTATCTCCTGTGGAATGGGGTAAGGTATCACGTCACAGAAGTGCCCGTTGTTGAGATTAGGCAAATCCACAGAAACAGGAAGTCCCTTCGGCTGTGGCCCTGGGTTGGGGAGGTGGGGAGAGGGAGCCCCCCGCCCCCCCTCCAGGGTTATGGGTTCTCTTTGTTAGGAAATTAGATACTAGTGACGGTCACATAGCTGTAGGAAATACCTCAGAAAGGTACTTTCAAGGGGCTGAGGTGCAATGGCAGGTGGATTTTCTCCAATGCTATCTTCGGGAATCATCTCAATAAAATTGCTATTAATAGCCAACAGAACACAGGAATGCTCTGGTTGGGGAGCAGCTGCGCCAGCAGGAAGCAAAGCAGAATTTACCTGGAAGGCATTTTTTTTTCTTTTTCTGGATCGGTCCCCCACAACCACCCAGAGCAAGCGGGAGAGGGCTGGGGCGGTGGGGGTGAGGGCGTGAGAGGGGCACTGCAGAGGCCCCGCAACTGATTGACTTTGCTTCCCTCATATCCACGGGGTCCTCACTTCTCTGGGCATTTACAGCACCTTGAACCCTCTTCTCGTTTCTCCCCTTCCTCCGGGAGCCCCTGGCGGCGGCCCCTCGCCTTCTCCCCTGGGGCCCTGCCCTGGGGCTGGGTGGGTGAGGCTCAGAGCAGGGGCGGGGCTTGATGGAAGACGCTTGGTGGGGGGGCGCCTGATAAACGGCTCTTAGGACGAGGGGCTGGACTTGTGGGGGCGGGGCTTACTTGCTCCGCCCTATCCAGCCAGAGTTGTGGGCAGGGGGTGCCCAAGAGTCCGATTGCTGAAGCTGGTGCACGCCGAGTTCTGCTCCAGTTCTTCGGACTCTTGCTCTAGGTGGGCGAGACTGGGGCGGGACGCGGCTCCGCGTGGCCGCGGGCTTGGGGACGCGGCGTGGAGAGCCAGGGCCAGCCTCTTCGCTATGGCCCACTGCCCTCCGTGGCAGGCAGTGGCCAGGACTCGCCGTTACCCAGATTGGACAAGGGTTCCCCCAGCGTGAGCCCCCCACCCCACCTAGCCCCTCAAGGCTTGTCCCAGCGGCAGCCTGCACGGGGAGGAGGGGCTCTGGGCGAGGGAGCTTTGGAGAGACCAGGATGAAGCCAGGAATGTGCAGGCTGGCATCTGGGGGAGAGAGGCACCCTTGTGCTGAGGCCCACGACAGCAGAGTGAGGCTCAGGTCTTCACCGTCTGGGCTGAAGTGGAGGCGGCCAGACCAGCATCCCGGCAGCTGCTGGAGGCACTGGGAGTCCAAGAGGGACTGAGCACAGCCAGAAGGGCAGAAGCCCCCACCCCCTCTGCCTTTGGCCACTAGCTCTGATGATGCGTGGCTGGTCTCCAGCCTGGAGCTCAGCCAGAGGCAGGCAGTGACGACTCGCCAGCGTTGCAGGGCAGAAAGGGGTCTACAGAGGTTCAGCTGCAGTGGCCAGGTGGTGGGCAGGGCTTGGCTCAGCTCTGGGAAAGCAACTGGCCCTAGTGGGTGCACACAGAGGATCTTCCCAGGTGCTCCCTGTTGAACCCACTGTATAGAAGAGACTGGCGTTGAAAAGCCATGATTATTATTATTTTTAAAATTTGCTTGAAAGGCAGAGTTAGGAGAGACACAGAGGGATCTTCCATCTGCTGGTTCCCTGCCCAAAAGGCCGCAACAGCTGGGGCTGGGCCAGGCTTAGCCAGGAACCTGGAACTCCATCTGGGTCTCCCACATGGGTGGCAGGGGCCCAAGTATTTAGGCCATCTTCTGTGGCTTCCCTAGGTGTGTTAGCAAGGGGCTGGATGGAAGTGTGGCAGCAGGGATTTGAACCAGTGCTCATATGGGAGGTTCACATTACAGGCGGCAGCTTAACCTGCCGTACCACAATGTTGGTCCCAGTTTTTTAATTAAAAAATTATGTATTTGGAAGGAGGGGTGGGGAGAGAGAGATCTTCCATTTACTCGTTCACTCCCCAGATACCTACGAACAGCCAGGGCTGGACCAGGCTGAATCAGGAACCTAGAACTCCACCCAGGTCTCCCAAGAAGGTGACCGGAATCTAAGTGTTTTGTTTTTAAGATTTACTTATTTATTTGAAAGTCAGAGTTACACACAGAGAGAAGGAGAGGCAGAGAGAGAGAGAGAGAGAGAGAGAGAGAGAGGTCTTCCATCCGCTGGTTCACTCCACAATTGGCCGCAACAGCCAGAGCTGCACGGATCCAAAGCCAGGAGCCAGGAGCTTCTTCTGGGTCTCCCACGCGGGTGCAGGGCCCAAGGACTTGGGCCACCTTCTACTGCTTTTCCAGGCCATAGCAGAGACCTGGACCGGAAATGGAGCAGCTGGGACTCAAACTGGCCCCCATATGGAATGCCGGCACTGCAGGCAGCGGCTTTACCTGCTACACCACCGCATCGGCCCCAACCTAAGTTCCCAGGCCACCACCTGCTGCCTCCAGAGATATGCATTAGCAGAAGAGGCTTCACCCATTGCCCCACAACACCCTCCTGCCCATCTTTAAAAAAAAAAAAAAAAGACAAAACTGTGGAAAGGGGACAGTCCCCTAATGAGTGCAAGGGCACTAGGGGGGCCTGCAGGCAGAAGTGGGGGTCGTCTTGCTGCTGCTTTTCCCTATCAGGGTCCGGCTGCCCACAGCTGCCCTGTAGCTCTGGTGCTTCCACGTCTCTGCTGACTCTTGGTTTCTCAAAAGAAGCTCCTGGCGGCCTTCCCCGCGTCATCAGGCACCCACAGGGAGCGTCCTACAGCCCAGCTGCCCTGTCTCCCAGGTCCACACCTCTCGTGCTTAGCTGCCCCTCAACCGCCCTTTCTGAAGAGGCTCAGATCTTCCTTTCTGATCCAGGCATTTCTTGCTATAAACTTCCTTCTTCAGACAGCTTTCGCTGTATCCCCTAAGTTTGGGAATGCTGCTTGTCTCGAGACATTACAAAATTTCCCTTTTAGTTTCTCCACTGCTTTATTATTTGGAGCATGTTGTTTAACTTCCACATATTTCTGAATTTCCCAAAATGCCTCCTGTTAGTGATTTCTAGTTCCTGTGACTGTGGCCAGAAAAAGCACTTGGCACGATTTCAAATCTTCTTAGGTTTGCTAAGAAACATTTTGTGGTCCTGGAGAATGTTCAGTGTGTGTGTGTGAGAAGGGTATCTGGCTGCTAGTGGCTTTAGGGTCAAGTTTAAGCCCAGGCTGGCGCCGTGGCTCACTAGGCTAATCCTCCACCTAGCGGCGCCGGCACAGCGGGTTCTAGTCCCGGTCGGAGCGCCGGATTCTGTCCCGGTTGCCCCTCTTCCAGGCCAGCTCTCTGCTGTGGCCAGGGAGTGCAGTGGAGGATGGCCCGGGTGCTTGGGCCCTGCACCCCATGGGAGACCAGGAGAAGCACCTGGCTCCTGCCTTCGGATCAGCGCGGTGCACCAGCCGCAGCGCGCCAGCCGTGGCGGCCATTGGAGGGTGAACCAACAGCAAAAGGAAGACCTTTCTCTCTTTCTCTCTCTCTCTCATTCTCCACTCTGCCTGTCAAAAAAAAAAAAAAAAAAAAAAAAAAAAGTTTAAGCCCAGTGTGTCCTGATTCTCTCTGGATGTTCTGTTCATTGTTGAAAGTGGGGTAGAAAAGCTCCCAACTGCTACAGCATCATAGTCTCTTCTCAGATATGTTGAACGTTGCTTCATGTGTTTAAGTGCTCTGATGCCGAATGCATACATTTAAAAAAAAGATTATTTATTTATTTGAGAGGTAGAGTTACAAGTAGATAGAGGGAAAGACAGAGAGAGAGGTCTTCCATCTGCTGGCTCATTCTCCAGAGAGCCGCAACAGCTGGAGCTGGGCCGATCCAAAGCCAGGAGCTTCTTTCAGGTCTCCCACGTGGGTGCAGGTGAATGACTTTGGACCCTATCTCAGTCTCTGACCTACAGTCTATTTCATCTGATGTAAGCATGACTATCCTTTCTCTTTTGGTTTCCATTTGAATGGAAAATCTAATTCCATCCTTTCATTTCCAGTGTGTGTGTGGGGGTCCATAAACCGGCTGCCTCTTGCTTCTGTCCGGATGCAGAGTGGTTGCCTGGCAACTGGAGGGCGGGAGGAGAAAGGTTTTCTCCAGGATGCCTCGCCGAGCACCTGGCCTGATGCTCAGGGACTTGGTTCACGGACGGTAGGGACGGTCCCTTCTGCAGTGTCCTGCACGGCTGGCTTTGAGAAGCTCCCCTCCCCAGGCCTATCTGTGGCCCCTGTGGCACCCTGATCAGGTGCCATTACTCTCCAGAAGGATTCACAATACCAGCCTTGGCCATAGACTTGGCCTTGGCTTTGGTTTTGTGCTTCTTCCCTGACTGAACCTGTGGGAGCTGGACAGCTGGGAACAGCAGCTACCTGAAGCTGGCTCTACCAGTCTGGGGTTCAGATGGAGGTAAGGAGGGGGCTCGAAAGGGTCCTGAGTCCCTTTCTGGAGATGCTAAGCTCCACTCACCTCTTCCGTGCAGGTTTTCTGAGTGTCTCTGATGTGCCAGCCAAGAGCTGAGCCCCCTGTGGGAGGATGATGGCGGAGAGAAAGCAGCTGTGTCACAGCCATTAAAGATGACGACGAGGGGTGGGCGTTTGGAGCAGTGGTTAAGCTACACTTGGGACACCCATATCCCTATCAACACACCTGGTTTCAGTCCTGGCTCCTCTGCTTCTGACACAGCTTTGTGCTGATGCAGACCCTGGAGGCAGTGAAGATGGCTCAAGTACTTGGGTCCCGGCCACCCACTTGGGAGACCTGGACTGCATTTCAGATTCCCACCTTTGGCCTGGTCCAGCCCCAGGCATGGTGGGCATTTGGAGAGTGAACCAGCAGATGGGAGTGGATGTCTGTCTATCTCTTGAAAAAAGACAAAACAGATACCAAGTGACATGCAGGGAGCTGGAGACAGAGGGGACAAATAGATGCCCTTTTAGCTCTTGGGGCCCACAGCCAGTGAGGGGATGGTGACAGAAGGCTGCAATGCCCTGTGCCCGGCACCCCAGAGAGACCTGCAGTGTAGACTGTGCAGTGGCAAAGGGCACCCCACCAGGTCAGTCCCCAGAGAGAAACAGCTCTCGGATGAGCAGGTGATAGAGCCCAGCAGAGCAGGATGCTGGAGGGACTGCCAGGTGCAGAACAGCTGGCGCGGGAGGCAAGGGGGCGGACAGCGGAAGAGGGGGCGGGCTATTCGGGGCCTCGCATCCGCAGCCAAGAAGGGCAACCTCCATCAAGAGGGCACCGGGGAGCTGCTGAAGGCTTTTATTGAGCCACAGGAGAGCTGTGGTCCAGGCGGCGTCTGAGCTCTGCCAAGGTCACTTGGAAGACATGCTGGAGGGGGCGAGTCTGGGCCGGGGAAGACGCGGAAGACGCCGCAGAAGCAGCAGGCTAGACCCACAGGGTGGAGGTGGGTTTGAGCAACCTCATTATACCCTCACAGTGTCAGACAAGCCCCCGGTGGTCCCTGCCTCTCCAAGGTGGGGAAGAGACTGCGGGAGGCTGGCGATCCGCCCACGCTCTCCGCCCTGCCACCCTGACCCGTGGCTGCCAGCCTATTCTAAGCCTGTGGGGCAAGATTTCAGGTTGCCCCTTGGTCCTGGGGTGCTACGGTTCCTCTTTCCTCCCTCTTCTCCCACAGGGCCTGCTGCTTTGCTGGGGCTCCTGCCTCTATTGCTTCCCGCTGAGCCCTGGCCAGGACAGGGCCCTCCTCCTGCCCACCTCCAGGGTGCCAGCTTGGCAGGATGATCTTTCGGGCTTCTGAGCTGTGCCGTGCTGACAGTCTGGGCCATGTGTTGGGCCTGCCCTGCGTCGTCTCTGTCACGCACCTCCCTCCACCTGGCACCCCGGGTGACAGAGTCCCACCACGCCCCTTTCGGGAGGGCCAAGCCTCCTTGCTACAGCCCCCGAGAGCCTCTCTCTCAGCTTTCCCACTCCCCGTACCCTCATTCCTCAATGCTGAGCTGAAAGCCTGTCTTGGCCCCGCCTGACTTCCCACTGACGCCAGCTAACTTACAATCCAAAGACATGGTAAACATTTCCAAGTTACTTTTTGATTTATTGGAGAGGGAGAGATCTTTCATCTGCTGGTTCACTGCACAAATGCAACAGCTGGCGTGGGGCCTGGAACGGAACCCCAGAGTCAGGAACTCAATCCAGGTCTCCCAGGTGGGTGGCAGGGACTCAAGTAGTTGGCCATCACCTGCTGCCTCCCAAGGTATGCATTAGCAGGAAGCAGGAATCAGAAGTAGAGCCAGCTGGGAAAGCAACGAAAGATAGCCCAAGTGGTTGGGCTCCTACCACCCAGTGGGAGACTTGGAAGAAGCTCCTGGCTCCTGGCTTTGCCCTGACCCAGCCTTGGCCATTGTGGCCATCTGGGGAATGAACCAGAGGATGGAAGATCTCTCTCCCTCTCTCTCTCCCTAACTCTGCCTTTTAAATAGATAGATAAATAAATCTTTTTTTTTTTTTTTTGGACAGGCAGAGTGGACAGTGAGAGAGAGAGACAGAGAGAAAGGTCTTCCCTTTTTCCGTTGGTTCACCCCTCAATGGCTTCTGCGGCCAGTGCATTGGGCTGGCGCACTGCACTGATCTGAAGCCAGGAGCCAGGTGCTTCCTCCTGGTCTCCCATGTAGGTGCAGGGCCCAAGTACTTGGGCCATCCTCCACTGCACTCCAGGGCCACAGCAGAGAGCTGGACTGGAAGAGGAGCAACCAGGACAGAATCCGGCACCCTGACCGGGACTAAAACCCGGGGTGCTGGTGCCGCAGGTGGAGGATTAGCCTATTAAGCCGCAGCACCAGCCGATAAATAAATCTTAAAAAAGAACTGGAGCCAGGACTTGAGCCAGGCACCCTGACATATATGGGATATGGACATCCCAGATGGCATTGTCACTGCTACAAATGCCCATTTCCCTTTGCTTAGCTTGGAAAATAAAAAAAAATCTCCATGTTGGCAGAGACTGCATCTGCTTTGTCCAAGGGGTAGCTGCCCAACCTGGCGTACAGCAGACCTTGGTGTGAGTAAATAGATCCTGAGTTCTCTCCTGCTGGTGCTGGGTGTGGGCAGGGTAGGGCAAGGGGCTTCCCCGCAGCACTCCTGGGAAGCCAGGCTACAAAGACCTTACAGTGCTATGTCCCTGAGCTCCCAGACCCTGTGGGCGGGGGTGTCCTGGGAGGACTGCTGATCCCAGGAGCTCAGAGAAGGGACCCCCAAACCTGCCTACAGGCCCTCTGTTCGTCCTTGGGGCAGAGGGAGGGATGGGGAAGTTCCACTGGAGCCTTCCCCCTGGTCACACAGCAGGCTAAGCCACCACTTGAGAAGCCCACATCCCGTACCAGAGTACTGTTTCCAGTCCTGGCTGCTCCACTTCCAGTCCAGCTCCCAGCTAATGCACACTCAGGGAGGTAGCAGGTGATGGCCCAAGTACTTGAGTCCTTGCCACCCACCTGGGACTCCCGGATGGAGTTCCTGGCTTCTGGCTTCAGCCTGGCCCAGATCTGCTTGCTGCGTTGAACCAGGGAGGGAATCTCTCTCTCTCTTTCCCTCTCTCTCACATGCTGCCTTTCAAATAAATATATCTTAAAAAAAAAAAAAAAAAAGTCTGATGGGGGTGGGGAGGCTATGGTGAGCAAAGCTGTGGCTCACTCCTGGGGCCAATTTTTGCCCCCAGGGGAGACCTGGCAATGTCTGGAGAGAGATTTGCCTGTTACAACTAGGGAGCCTGCCAGAGATGCTGGTTAAAGTCCTCTGGGACACAGGAAGGCTCGGCCAGCCCAGAGGTCGACGGCTGAAGGTGGGAAGCCCCATTTCAATACCTTTCTGTCCCCTCCCCAACCTCTGGGGGGCTCTTCCCCAGGGTGGTTCCACGCTTCTGGCAGTGGTCTTAGGCCTTTCCACCCCATTTGCTTCTCCCCACCGTGGGCCCCGACTTTCTTGGGAAGAGCTATTTGAGCCTAAGCCTGGGCCTGCCAACAAAACGGGAGCTGCTGTGTGGGCTGAAGTCTCCCCACCCTTGGAATGTGAAGGCTCCAGGGGCCTCCCCAACCCCAGGCCTGGCTGGCTGCACGGGAGACGAGGGTGAGGGTGCAGCCCATGCTGGTCACAGGATGGAGACAGGCGCCAGTTTGTGCCTAGGGCACGGATCAGGGAAGGGAGGACGGGACCTGTGGAGGAGGGGGTAGAGGGCGCCCGGTTTCTGGCTCCCCTGCAGGGTCCTTCATGATTATTTCTCCTTGGGCCCGAGGTGGGGTGGGTGCTAATCTTGCCCACCATGGGTGACCACTCGCCCCCAGCTTGGGAGGCCTGACCTGGTGGGATGCTGGGATGTGGCTGTCTGCTCCTCTCATGTTGGGCCCAGGGTGGATCAAGGGAGCACCAGGGAGGATGGAATTCATGCTGGCTGGTGGCTTAGGCCCCACAGAGTCAGACCCTGAGCTGGGTGCCTTGGTCACCAGCAGAGAGGACAGAAGAGCTGTCCTGGGGGAAATGGGAGGGGCCTCTGCTAGAGCAAAGGTGGGCAGCAGGGGCCGGGTAGGGACAACTTTGGTGCAAAGGCACACGGAGTGGGAGGAGGAGCATGAGGAGGAGGAAGGCAGGCTTGGCACAGGGAAGACTCTGTTTCTAGGTGTGGGAAGCCTGGTTAGGGGCGGCCATTGAGCCCGCCCATGCCCATCCAGTCCAGCTGCCAGCTCCTGGGTTCCTACCCCTGCAGCCTGCTTGATATCTCTTTGGATTTCCATGCAGCCTCTCCCTAAGTTTAAGACCCTGACATGTGGCACCCCAGCCTCCTACAGGGCTCTGGGCCAGCCCCATCTGTGAGAGAATGGGGTGTCCAAATTGCAGAACCCTGGCTCCTCCACTTTTTTTTTTTTTTTTTTTTTTTGACAGGCAGAGTGGACAGTGAGAGAGAGAAACAGAGAGAAAGGTCTTCCTTTTTGTTGTTGCTTCACCCTCCAATAGCCGCCGCGGCCGGCGCACTGCACTGTTCTGAAGGCAGGAGCCAGGTGCTTCTCCTGGTCTCCTATGGGGTGCAGGGCCCAAGGACCCGGGCCATCCTCCACTGCACTCCCTGGCTACAGCAGATAGCTGGCCTGGAAGAGGGGCAACTGGGACAGAATCTGGTGCCCCAACTGGGACTAAAACTCGGTGTGCCGGCGCCGCAAGGCGGAGGATTAGCCTATTGAGCCATGGCGCGGGCCTACCTCCACTTTTTTTCAATTTTTTTTTTTTTTGTTTGTTTTTGTTTTTGGACAGGCAGAGTGGAGAGTGAGAGAGAGACAGAGAGAAAGGTCTTCCTTTTTGCCGTTGGTTCACCCCCCAATGGCCGCTACGGCTGGTGCATCGCACTGATCCGAAGCCAGGAGCCAGGTGCTTATCCTGGTCTCCCATGCGGGTGCAGGGCCCAAGCACTTGGGCCATCCTCCACTGCACTCCCGGGCCATAGCAGAGAGCTGGCCTGGAAGAGGGGCAACCGAGATAGAATCCGGTGCCCCGACTGGGACTAGAACCCGGTGTGCCGGCG